GTCAACTTTACCTTAACAAGTGGCGACTTTTCTGCCACATTTTTACCGTGAAAAGCTACAAGGACTTCTTTCAATGCCTCGTGAAGATACTTGATTTAATTTGCATATTCGCAAAAGACAGAGAATGGAAATGACTTAAGTTGAGGTTATGATGACCGGAGGTTGTCATTAATGAACAGCAAAGTCCAGTAAAAATAGACGCTTTCCTAGGATAAATTAAGTTTGTTGACAAAAAAATAAGAACAAATAGCCAAATAGGAACCGAGGAAACAAGGTACCACCTTGTAGATTTGTCTAGCCTAACCGCTTACCTGTTAAAAAGTCGAAAATGTTGTCGAGGCTGTTCATGAAGCGTTTGAAATGCGGTTTTCGACGGAGCCAGGTGTTCTGGGGTCGAAGGCCACCCGAAGCTGACACAGTCAACGCCTGACAGGTCAGGTTGGGGATAGGTTCGTACTCTAGCAACGCGCCGGTTATCAAGGCCTGGGGAAACACGACCTCAGCGACTTGTCCCATTAGGAGCTACAATTATTAATAATTGTAGATGAAATTGAAAGTTTTTTTTCCTGTCAGCCGTTAATCAAACATAAAGAAGTAACAGGACAACTCCAAGGCTTCGTGCCTCTAGACCATCTGACTTTAGAATCTCATTGGTAGCTGAGGTTAGTCTACAACAGGTGTTCAAGCCAAAGTTGGACGTTTAAGACAGTAAAAAATAACGTTTTGAGAGGTTAAAACACATTTTACTCGCTAAATAGCTTTTTGTCCAGCATTTAAGCCATGTCTGGAAAGACTTGATACTACAGCAGTTCAGCCACCCTAGGACAGTCTCTGCTACAATCTTGATATCCAGCTTGAGCAAGCTTTTTGAACTTGCAAATTCTCGGAAATGTGCAATCCTAAGCCACAATAAGACTGATCTCGTGTACGATTTATGACGGCCCTTGGGATTGTGGACAACCATCAATGAAGTAGCCACCAATTGTCCGACTATGAGCTGGCGTTAACTACCTGTGACTCGAAAGCAGTCTCCTTTTATGTCCAGTTTGTACAGTCTGGAAGTAGGTGATGGAATAATTTTACTATCGCATTTGGCCTTGCTAGCTCTCCCAAACACAACTGTTTATATCTACAAGTTAAAGAATCCGCCGCTATTTGTTTTTTTTTTAGTAATTGTGTAATTAATATACTTGGACACCGTCTGATTAAGAACCGTCAATCGTCCAAGAAATCTTGCTCCTTTGGTAGTCAAGGGAAATATCAAAACAACTGCGTACTAGGTTTGATAACAGTACGCTCGTATTTTTCAACTCTTTCATTTATACCACTTCTTAATGAACTTACCAACCATAAATTTCGAGGTGAGCAATTCTAGCTGAATCATTTAAAACACTTCTAGACCGATATGTTTTCATGCCAAGTTAGACTCGATTGATCAAGCCTACATGCTGGGAGGGCGTCCTTTAAGGTTACTCAACATTTCATGGTATGAAGCTGCAAAAGTGAGGAAAATTGAAGAGAACACAATGAGGCGTGCAGTACCGTACCGATGTGGGACTGACGCATACCTGCGCCTGATGAGGCATACTGGCAGACGCGTGTATCTTACTGGTCCATCTAGGTTACACCAAAAGCAATCACAGCTAGGTACGCCAGAAACCATACAAACTGTTGGATCACCTGATATATGCATGTGCCACCTGGTGGTGCCCAACGCCTTGAAATGGATCGCACTTCTGTCAATCATTGGTTCTCATCATGGTGGATTGAATTAGCAGTGGTGGATTTAAGAAAATTTGCTTCAAAAAATTATTTAGTTTTATAATTGTCGTCTAACAATTTATAACGCCTGCAATTTACTTTGTACGTAAAATACTACTTCTTTTTATTTGGAGAATAAGTAGTGTTGGTCTAGCGTTGACCATTTATAATATTCTGATTTACTGAATCAGAATTACGCTGGTAAAATATTATGGTTCAGCTAGATATCCTAGTGAAGCTACTGACAAGCTTGTAGAAACCACTAAAATTCTCTTTTATCTCAAACCGCTCCCCTTTATACCTACTTTATTTACACTAGGGAAAAGTTAATGAATTAAAAATTCCTGGACTTGGAGGTTAATTGTATTTAAACCCTACCTCGCCCCAAATCTGGAGTCATTTTAAACAAATTCCACTCAAAACTATGGGATTGTAGACGTGGTTAATATTTTTTGCCTCAGTTGAGGTTTCGGATAATGTTAAGTCCAGCTAAGTTGCATAGACGTGATCAATTATTCCAGTTTTTTATACTTTCATAACTTCATACTTTTCACTTAATCATTAAGTTCGATTCCACCGTTCTCTTTAGTGAAGGAATGTACAATAAATATTGTCAGAAGGGACAAAATAAGTACTCGTACCTGAAAGGCAAGAGTGATGACATCGTTGAGGAGAGGTAGAAAAGGGTTGATGTCGTAATTCTGCAGCTCGTATATCCTCTCCTCATCGCATACACTTTCACGTCCATTGTCACTGAATTTGTAGATACAGTTCCGCAGACCAAAAGTATTTACCAGCCAAAAAAGAATGGTTTCGTTGGTGGAGGTTTGCTCCTAAAACCAAATCAGCACGTTTTTTGATGGGTAAAGTCGGAAAAAATACAAATCCCTCTTTTTTTATCTTAAACTAATTATCAATATAGGTATTATGGAATCAGGTATTGGGTATCGTGAGGTGATAGTTCACATTTACAGGTTTTGGTAAGATCTTCGCAGCTTTCCCTTCATGCTCTTCTTGTTAGGAGATCACCAGTCCCTGCATACATCTTAATGAAGTTTCTTCCAGGCTTCCGCACCCTAAAAAGTCTTCTGAAAGGACCCGGGTCACAAAGTGGTCGAATGTGGATAGGAAACCTAGGCGCCACAGAAGAAGGCGTCTGGAGTGGAGGGCCTAGTATGAGACGCCAAGCTGAAAGACCCTTAAAACTCACATCGCCTTTAGGCAATTGCTTCAATCTCGTGTTCTTCTGAAAGGCTATCGTCTATTTATATGGAATCGAAGCGAAGCGGTTTGACAATGGCATTCTTTGTGGAGCATTAAATTGAGCGCCCGCAAAGTCGAGCTTAGGAGGCTGGATTTACCAAATTACTGCAAATCTTTTTGAGTGTTAGCAGTTTCGCTCACTTTCATCTGGATTCTAGCACTTAATCACACTCGTTTTAATAAGCCTGTAATGTGGTCACTGTTGGTCCTTGATCAGCCATTTCAAGATCATAGATAAATAAAAGTAAAAAACAATTTTCTCACATTGAGTACAGACTGTACAGCTCGAATTGTGGTAGTAAGGAGGGTGGAAATTTGAGCTTCGTCATGTACGGCATCGGCACCGCGTAGCAGAAGAAAAATCAGTTCTGCCACAGCTAATGAGGGCCAAGATTTTGCTTTTTGCACGTCTAAATCTAACAGTAGGAACGGAGTTGGGACAATCGCACCAATTGTTGACTTACCTTTTACTAGTCGGTTAATAAATATCACTTCTTTGCCCTCTAGACACCGAAGCAGACTCGATTTTGCAGTAAAATTATGAATTCCATTCTGAAAAAATACATTTTAATTTACTCATTGAAACGTTGATTTGAGGTAATTTACGAACTCACTGCATCAGCTCTGCTTTGTGCAACGGCGATCAACTGTCGAACGTCAAGAAGGTATGGTGGGGTTGTCATTTGCAAACAATCAGGAGCACGACGATGAACCAGTTCAGCGAAATACTTTGTTGTCGAAATCAACTAGTAGGAGGTGTTGGTTAATCCGTCTATCCAACCTACCCGTCTGGTAAGTGTGTTTGCAGTCGACAGTTGTTCTCGCAAAATCAGATTCTCCTTAGCCAATCGGGAGACGCGGTCCTCAAGGTCATCCTGTGTGGACATATCCTGTTTGAGAATAGGAAGCAGCGGTCTTACGTTTGAGGAATTTGGATGACCATCACAAAAAAGCATGAGTTGTTGTGTAACAAGGGAGTGAAACAATGCTCTCGCTCCTTAAAAGACAAGCGCGCTTATATTTCTATGCTTGAGTGAAATTGGGCATGTGACTTAGAGACTGAAGCTTCTGTGCAATAAGATATGCAGGTCTCAGAAGATACCTTTTTAGGAGGATAGACGTTACATTCCCTAAGAAGATGAAGCTCTTCATTCTGTTTATTTAGCGTCCATTCGAGTTGCGACTTCTCGGCATTCAGTAGTTCTACCTCCTTTTGTAGTCTTCTGCAAATCCAAGAACATTATGCATCAAAAATCTCTATTAGGTTATAGGACATTTTCAGTCGATCTCATTGACTGTTTGACTATTTCTGGCTCTTTCCAAGAAAAGTTTTGCTTGCACACCGTAGAGTTGTATCAAGTTGCATCAAGTGAATAAATCACAACCGTAATTCCTATTTGGCTTTCAATAGGAAATTTATAACGAAAAAATACAACGCAAGTGCAATCAGATGAGGAGTATGGATGAAGTGTTGTTTAGAAGTATGGGGCACGGAGTGGGTCGTTTGAGGGAACCCATTAACTTGGCTTACCTAACGTTAGAATACTAGGGCCATTTCTCATCGTTGCCCATTGGTAAGCGATTTTAAACAGGGTTTTTGTAAATTACGAAAAAGAGGACAAGAAAAACAAATTGTAGGTCTTTGGGGCCCATTGTCCCCCTTTGCTGAATGGCGTACGGGTGGCACGTTATCGTTTGCCTTCCACAAGTTTTCTCCGCATGGTTTCCGGTTTTAGATTAGTGATCAAATAGGCCTTAGCTGCAACATTTTGACAAGTTAACCAAAAAACGAACGAAAATCCTTAACATCGTCAGAAAAAGAGGGTTCTCCGAGTTAATTCCATATCAGAATCAGCCACTTTTTAAAACCATGTATGCGCGGTACTTACTACCTCTTCATCCTTCCTGAACGCCATGCATGCTACTGAAACCTCGGCACCAAGTTTAGTTTGGTTAGTAAAAGCAGGCAGGCTCGGACCAAATATGTCAGTTGCAATTGCCAACTAGTGATATGAGGAATCAAAGTAATAGGAGAGTAGTAGAGACCACATTAGAGTACCATATCGCACCACTAGACTGACGCATGGAAGTAGTAGAGACTTTCGGGAGAGCATGCCATGCTCTAGATTGAATTGAAATTTTGACATTAATATCGTACCTGCTAGCCTCGTGATGGATTTGAATCATACTTTCAAGATTCGCTAAATCGTTAACGTCTGTTTGGGCCTCGGATGAGCAGCTACCGGTCGCTGAGGATTTTTTGTTCAGATGTTCAATCCACTCCTCTAATCGGCGTATGGACACTGAAATAAAAAAAAAACCAACGAATGTACCATGAATTGGCATTCTCACATTGTGATCCTCGATTAGTCACTCATAGATCCCAAAACTTCTGTAAAAACGCACAATTTCTGCCCTAATATAAGTGGCGTGACTAAACAAGGATTTGTACTAGTATTTGGCGGGTTTGAGACCTTTAAGTTCGTTACCAAAGTCCCAACAATAAAATGAGAAGATTTTATTTAACACTCCCTTCTAGAAGAAAGAACAGTATTTCCTGATTAGCACGTAAATGCCGGGAAAGTTGAGGAGTGTTTGTTCAGGCAGAGAAGCTAGTTTTTGAAGAACAGCCCATACGCACACTGGCAGGCAAAAATGCCCAGACTAGGGATGTGTAGAGACGAGCTGCACTGACATTATGAGGTATTTCAAATTTGTGTGACCGCTAGCAAATCGTCGATTAAATGAATAGTATTGTTGACAAAAATGTTTAACTCCTACTTGATGTGAATGTCTTTTTTAGGTTCTAGTGGTTTCATTTTATACAAATATCCTAGGCAATATGTAATTGTTGGGAGCCTCCAGTAACTGTGACTCGTTTCAACAAGAAGCCTCTTGCAAAGCAGTCGATGTATGCATGACATTTGAAATCCTATTTCATGATAAATTTTACTATTTAGGTGCGCGATGACCCATTTGTAATGCTTCGTGACATCAGAATCACCACAGGGCCGACGCTCATACGCAGATGTTCTCTCTTCTATTGAATCCCTATTACTTCATTTGTAGGTACATTTGGAAGTTCCTCCTTAGTTCTTCGTGACGTCTGTAGATTTTCTAATCCATTTGTGGACGACTCTACCAGGGAGGAAATCAGCTTTTGGTGGACTAAACTCGTGCTCTTGTTACAAAAAAGGCAGCAAAGAAACTTCCCGGAAGGCCTACTGTTTGGCAGGAAATGTCACATAACGTGCATTCACTATTTTAAATACAAAGCGTTGGTTTTTCTCGAATGTCTCAAATATAATGCCGATCTCGTGTGCATCTTTTCCCCAAAATCTCTCGTGGCGACACAATTAGCTTAGCCACGAAGGATCATCTTTCACCTTTTAGGGTCTACGAATCGTCTAGTGCGCCTTTTGAAGAGAAGAAATTCACTCAGAAGGAAAACGATCTACTTAATTCGTTAAAGGCAAATGTGATGACCATCTAATTTTTTGAGGTACAAACGGAAAAAAAGTACTCTGTGGTTGATTTGGCGAAACATTGCCACTCGTTCTAGGGCTGAGGCTCAAGTAGAAAGGTTTTCAGCTTAAAATAATATCAAGCGATACCTTGGTATTTTAGAAGTAAAAAAAGTAACTTGCTTTGAGCTTCATGCTGCCGAGCTTGAGCGGTTGCAAAGGACTCCTGATACATTTCCAATTTCCGGTAAAGTTCCTCTTTCTCTGCATCTAGAGTGGAGCATCGTGCCTGTAGGTCCAACAGCAGATTTGCGCTTGCGTTGGCCCGCTGATTCATCTATATTCGAGGATAGGCAAAATTGGAAAATGCATAGAGAGATACTTCAAGTACAATTAAGCCTTAGTTACACACCTAGAATTAGAACTATTACCAGGTGTTGTTCACTAATCTGCATGGTACCCGGCCCACACGTTTTTAATTATTTGGGTCCACTGATCTTCGAGACGACAAATAACAGTGTTTATGAGTGAGTCCTTACAATGGCCCGTAGTGACGACCAACTTTTTCTGTAAACAAACGTGTGAAACCTCTGGCTGCCTTTGGAAGCCCCAAAGTCAATTGCGGCAGGGTAATGAGACGCTCAGGCCTGGTACGACATTTTAGTGAATTAAACACTTTTGATACGACGGTATGACTGTCAGCGAAGATCAAAAGCTGTGGTAATTTCCAACCCTCAACCACAGAAATCAGACTTGGACAAATTTGTCCCTGTTGAGCGTGAAGAAGGCCCGGATTTCATCAGATCCCATGGCTCTGTAGTGTTTTCATCTGACTCATCTCTGCCTGAAGTTGAAAGTGCTAGAGAAGTGGCAATGTTTCGATGGCCTGCCCTCTGGCATTCAGTCACCGATACTTGGACTTGTCGGGGGACTTGGGATCTGGCGAATCGGGAATGTCTGCTTATTACAGGCAGTCGGTGTAATGTAATTTCTAACAATATTCGGGAGTAGATTTGGTTGTGAACAGGCTTAATCAACCGCCCCATTGGTGCATTTAGACAATCGTCTAGGTGGATTGACAGCGGATAATGTGCGCAAGGTGAAGAAGCCCAGGAATAGTCAACTGAGAAAAAGTAGGCTCTGCGGCCTACCCTGTGGTGCCTGCCAATTCCTGGAGCTGGGGGCACGGAGTCTTTCTGACAATCCCTGGATGGTGCTTTTCCCTTTGGTGTGGTATGACATGATTCTTAAATCTTTTTCATTTCTCCTAATCAACACAACTTGCTAAAGACCTATCGCACACTGGCTACCGAATCATCACCTTAGCATTGATCCCAAAGTGAAGCACACTGTTTTAGGGCAGAAGATTGATTCCTGTTTGTTAGCTCCGTTCCGACTTAATCTAAGGTTAGGATTTGTAAATAAACTATGGCTAACCTCAGTTTTCCGTCCCGACTTGAAGGTGGCGTCTTCAGAGGCTATTTTCAGTTCAACTCCAACTGGAGTGATTTTGCGTAAACTTCGGTGAAGTTTGCCTCCTGAGTGATAGTTCACTTCTTCATAATCACCGAAACTTCTGTCAGATTGACCTCGGCTGCCTTTGTGCTTACCTGTGAAAGCGACAAATTTTTTGCGGTACTGATATATTTAGGGGAATTTTTGAGGAATTTCAAGGACTAATTTCCTTATAAATGAAGCATCTTACCATGATTATTGAGTCGGCCGCGTTTTCCTTTTTTGCTCTCCTCCACTTGTTCCTCCTTCTACAAAGCGAATAATGTTAACTAAATTCATTCCAACGCTTTACAGCATCTGCTTGTAAAACTGCACCTTCATAAGCTTTGCAATTTGTGATTCCTTCACGGCAATTTCACTTTCCCGGGTCTTTAATTGGTTTCGAAGACTATTTATTTCCCGCTCCAGCATCTCAATTGACTTCCCCTTGCTTTCCTCCACTTCGGTCTTACTGTGGCGTGGAGTCTTGTGTCTGCGAAGGAGGCTGAGTGCGCGATTGTAGGTTTTCGACGACTGAAAAGGATAAAATTCTACTTGCTGGCAGGGAAAAAACTTCCTTACCCCCTTTTTGCGTGCAAATTTGGTGTCTTCACTAAAAAAGAACCGAGAAAGAAGAAGAAACACTTCAAACACAGGTGTGTGCAACCACCTACAACCCACCCTATGGCATAAAAAAGCAGGTGAGTCTCTCGTGCCAGTGATTTAGCTCACCTTGCCTCTGCCTTTTGTTGCTGTTTTTGTCGAATCTCCTGAAGCTGATGAAGGTGTTCCTGAGCTAGCCAACGACGTGCAAAGGCCTGAATCGCCGTGATCTGCTGAAGAATTGGTTGATAGCGTCGTCGAGTAATCCATCCTCTTAGGTGGCTTTGAATGACCGTCATAGCTGCCGTGATCCTTGCACTGCGGGCGCGTTCAAGATATGCCAAAACTCCGTTACCAAAGAAGATTTTGGTCCTGCCCAGACGGTATTTGTTTGCATCCTAAAGAGGAAGATAAGTTTAGAGGATGGTATTGTTTGTGAACAACAATTTCTGGACAATCAATCCCAAATCGGATTTTAACTGATCTTTTGACTGAGAGGGACGGAGTAAAGACATCTTGGACGAGGCAGAAGAGGGACCAAATGGAGCGTCGGAAACACTGTGAAATGATACTTATTTGAACGTGTGCTTGACTACACAGACTCCTTAACTGTAGTATGTTACATAACAAGGAGAAATTCTACAACATTAAAATTTATTCAGTCGTAATTAAAAGCTATTGTATCTCGAGGGACCAATGGTTGTCTCACTTCAAGCTGTTGTGTAGGCGGTGCGTCAGTATTTTTTAATATAAGGGCCGCCAACTTACAAATTTCTTCATAACTTAAAAGAACCACATTTAGCTAGTATTTACCAAAGGCTTTTCTGAAGAAGGTATAGGCACTTCCTTTGTTTTACCACAAAATTCTCAACAAGAGAAATGTGCAGCATTGATAGATGGTAGTCTCGCTTTTTACATGAAGACAGTGTTTCCTAGGGTGAGAAATAATCGAAGTTGCGCTAGCCTTACTGTCAACTGTAGTAGTCGCATGCCAGCCACATAACCTTGTAGAACCAACCGTCGACCAACACATCGATGCTTCAAGACATGCTTAAACGTGTTTTAAGACGCTGAATGGGTGAACTAACAGCATGAGTGGTCTAAATCACTCACCTCCACGTTGTTACGAAGAATGGCTTCCGATTTCTTGACAGGGTCCTTTTCAAAACAGTGATTGCCAGGACAGAGCTGCCAGTATCGACTCAAAAAGTCCTCGTATGTCCACCTGAAATACATTAAAGCTATTCGAAAATCAACATGTAGAATTACAAAAGAATGCAAATTTTCGAAGATTTATTTTCTTGGAATTTTAAATGGATGCATAGGTCTGCATTGTTACACGCATTTAAGGAAACACGGTCAACTCGAATGCAGACGGTTTCGGCAACCGTAAGTTTAAACTGGAGATTAGAGGTTTTGTATTAAAAAAGACTTACTGGTGGACCTGGCTTTTATTTTTAAGTATGCGAATTTCAATTATTCGATTTCGATAGTAGGAAACCTAAAAACTTTGCGCTATTTTTCGAAACAGGTAAAGATGAAAGGAACAACAGTTAGCCGTCTCTGGACGTGATATTAAACACCACCCGTATGAGAAGACACACATCTTCCCAACCGAATGGGAGAGTTGTCGCCATGCAGCGGGGATGTCTGCCAAGTCCCAAGTTGTATCAAAATCTTTCCCCGGCCCTCTACTTCGATTACAGAGCAGTTACCTACCCCAGTACCTACTTTCTCCTCGCTATTCAATTTGTCTCTCCCTAATCAGTCTGCTAGTCAAGTGAAAGGCTCCAAATTAACTGTTTTGGAATGTGACAAATGCGGGGCGCTCTATGCTTTCAGCCACATATATCAAACGCGCACTACGATGGCGCTCGTATAATAGCTTAACGAAGGTGTGTGACGATGAAGAAGTGGTGTGGTGTAGCTTGAAATATTCTTCGCATCCTTCTCAAATGCACCCACATTCATCCAAATTCATCGACTTCCTCTCCAAATTACGCTGCCCTTGTGGGACTATGAATGGTGCCATTGAATGGACGTAGGGCTAATCGAGGTGCCACATGATAAAAATCACGAGTAAAGAATTGCATCCTGCAATACGACGTTCCAACCCAAGTGAACGGTACTGGCATAACAACGTACTGTGCATCGACAAAAGAAAAGAGGAGTTGCTTGCCTTGATGGATAGCCAGCAGCACTGATCCTGATGGTTTGAAGCACACCACAAGCTCTCAGCTGTTGCATCACTCGTTCTGGACAAAATCTGGAGGGTGTATAGGGGAGTAAAAGAACATGAGAGGTCATCTGAGGCGCAGTGAGAGTTGTTGCCAAGTGAGAGAAAGTGGGTGAATTACGTGAACGGTGCTTTGTGGTCGTTGGGTTTGATGCACCGAACGTAGTGACTCGTTGTACGATCTAGAATCTCCATTAGAGTCCCCAGGGATGTCGAGAACTGGAGCAGGATTAGCAAAATGAAACGGCATTAATAATTTTGGTTTAGTAGCATGCGGTTTTAGGCCAGGTATGAACTGGCTCGGATTGTGAGACCTTCCATAAAAATTGAAGTCCCTAGTATTTCCTTTGCTAACAAGAAGCTTCGATACCCCAGAAGGTGGACTATCACTATTACTGACGCATGGATTAGTTGATGTCGGTCTTCTCGTAAGCAAATCTTCTTTCTGTAGTATCTCGCATTAACTTGAAGCAAAAAAATGATATCAGCACAAATGTACGGATTATTCAACTAGGTATCAACGTAATCTATTCATTTTTGGTTAAGATGAAGCTCCTAAAAGTAGGCATCATTTGGTGAATAACTGATTACCAACAGTTAGCTGCATTAGAAGATGCAAATGCTGATAATTGACCAAAAAAGTTCCAGACGATGTGTCAACGCATTAAAGGGCTACTCTTAATCCAAGTAGCTCTAAAATTCGTTCTAATTGCAACAATGTAAAAAGCATTAATTGGAGAGGAACCATCTTTTCAGGAGCCAATTGGCTGAAATTTCCAGTCAATTATATGATCCTGCGTTGAATCACTCTTACCTGGGTCACTACCGTCGGTTTGGTGAAAATTCCTTGATGTTTTACCCCGATAACATTGGTTTTCCCAAAATTCTCTATCATTTTTCGTAATATTGGGTTCTAATATAAAATTACCAAAAGAACCGATTCAAAATAAACCTTCGGTCCTACTACCTGAAAGAACATAAAAACCAAATGGCAAGTTAATCAGTGAGGTTCGCAAATCTTCCACGATCCGTGCTACATCTTGGCGCCATGCGGTCTGATTATTCCACTTAAGCTCCCTCATCCCCTTTTATGCAGGAAAAATATACGTATAACGTTAACATATCACAAAACACATGCTATTTAAACTTTGACCCAATATAGAACCTACAATATGTAACATGTAAGGTATAAAATCCATATTTTGGGATTTTTCTTTCTCACTAATTCGTAGACGGCTAATGGGAAATCCAGTTGAATTTCCAACCAATGACTTTACAGAGAGGTTAACAGAACACCAATCACAACTGTATCAGCCGGTTCTCAGGTTCCCCCTCAAAAAATCCTTTAGATTTGCTTGCCTTGGTGCTAGTTAAGAGGTTGGCGTGTTCAGGAATGATTCGGTCCAGATTCTTCTCCACGAACCCGTCCACAGCGTATTCTACTTTTTCGGAAAAGTGTTGAATGATGAAGCGTTCCTGAGCCCAGAACTTTGACTGACTAAAGTCGCGACTTCGACCTAAATGTTCATTGCAAATGCGACCTAGCCAATTTCTGTCATTTGGCCTTGGCAGCTTGGGTCAGAAAAGGTAAGAAGTGCAATTTAGTTTTTTTCGCAATTTGTCACAAAATCACACGGAGGCAGTAAAACTGATGATACAGACGTAGCACTTCCCATCTCCAAACTCTGCTCAAGGATAACTTGAAACGCTGAAAAATTTCACCCAATCTCATTACTGACGTCTTGGAAACGTTTTTATAATACTATTGAAAACCTGTAGCTAGTGCTTCGGGGATTAAGTTGTTCAAAAAGTACTCCAAATTTAAACTTATTTCAGAAACGAACGCAAAAACACTAACTTTTTGGCAAAGTTGGTGAAAATACACCTAGTGGGGCCGCTGGTTTCAAAGAAGACATTCACCATTCAATATCTAGACGACGAGTATTGCCTTTTTCTGGATCGATCGACAACAAAGGACAAACAAAAGGCTTTTGTTTGAAAATTAAGAAAAAGTTAGGAAATGTCATACCACTCGGATAAAGTCATTACCTTGCACTCATCATTCAGCAGTTCAATTACACCCATCGGCCCTTCCAACAACTGAATGCAAGGTGCATTGTTATAGTATTCCACAAAACTCCATTCCAGGCCTTCACGAATATACTCTTCTTGCTCCAACTGGAAGACATTCTGTGAAAGGAACAAGTTTAAGTAATTGCTGTCTTCTCGTTTTGGTGTCGGTTATGGCATCGCTTATGTCACCATGTTGGCTCACTTTAATGAAGCGTTGTTGCAGTTTTTCGTTGGCATAGTTTATGCAGAACTGTTCAAAACTATTGACTTCCATTGTCTCAAAACCGTAAATATCAAGAATGCCAATAAAATTGTCCTCCGTTGGTTCTTCCTAAGGTTGGATAAAACGCATAGATTACTCTCACAACAGGAAAGTTGAGTGGCGATACAACTTTCCTCACTCACTGAACAAGCAGCTAGTGATTCATTGCACCGGTTTACAATCCACCTGAAGAGCATTTGATAGATGAGTTTGGCAAGGGCATCTCTTGCTGAATTGGCCTCTGGAACAGTTAAAGGCTTGTGCATTTCACCCTCGACGGTGTGAATAATGCGAAAGCATAGGCAGTCGTAGGCTGGTCCTCCGGAGTTTGACTGGACAGTGCACTGGAGCAGCTGAAAGGCTTCTTGCAGTGATCGCTCTCCAGCATCCTGTGCAAATCAAGGAAGTATTTTGGTAGGGTTTTCCAGTAAATTAAGCAAATTTGTGACAGTCAGTCCAGACACCGTTCATCAAGTCACCGGCAATGGTGCCCTTCACCATGCAACACCCCATGTTCATGAAGTCGTGAAAGTTATAAATAAAGACGTGGATTCAAAACAAACAGATGTCTACTGGCACCCCCAGAAGACTGTGGGTACAGTAATGGATGATGTTTGGACAGGCATTTACTCGGTGGTCAAGCACTTCAATAGTGCGTACGTTTCAAATATACCTGCGTGTGTGTATACGTCTATCACTGACGATCTCGATCTCCGTAGTCATTCAGGGTTGAGAGTGTTCAATCAGCCCGTACAGCATCTGTCTTAAGACAGAAGTCGTCTGACTCAGGCTTAGCTTATAGTGGGGCTAAACTACACAAGAGGGGTGTTACCATGGTAGTAGTGAATGCATTCATTTAGAATAGCCCCATTTTGAGAAGCTAGTCTAAATTTTGCAATAGATTGACTTTTGCACGATCTCAGATAGCTAACCTCATGTATTACATAGTGTAACAATTCGGTTTTGAAGTTTTGACGCGTCCCCTTTACAGCCTGGAAGTAGTTCCGAATAAGATCCGCCCGTATAAGTTTCTAAAAGCGTTTCTCGGAGATTAGATCCTCACCAATGGTGAAAAAATGCAGTCAGGTGTCCCTTCTGTTGGAGTCTTCAAGACGGTGTTTGACCCTATGTAGGAGGACCCGATAGTGAAAAGCAATTCGTGTAACTAAACTTTCTTAAAGAGCGATGTATTCCTTTAAAACCATTCTGGTTACAAATTTGACGATGAAATTCAATAATCCACAGACTCAGAGTTATTCGTGAGCCCTATCGTGGATGTCATGAAGTACTCTAGAGAAGTGGGCATGTCTGTGCTAATCAAATTACCTTTCATGTATAACTCAAGGCCATTTTCATAATTCTGTGAGGATTTCCAATGCAAAAAATTTCAAAAGGAGATCAGCTTCTAATGAAGCATCATGGGCTGAGAAAAAACTTATTTGGAGGCGTATACTACATGACCGTTACAACGTACAGTTATTTGAGAACCGCCTTGTGAAATCCCCGAGTACGTGACGTTGCCCAGATGCAGAATAGCCGCCAAGATCGTGAAAACTGTATTCACCTCATCATCACTAAAGCCTAAAACAAGGAAAAGAGGAAAGGACGTTTCACGGAGGCATTGGGAGGGGGAGACTTCGAGTACTCACCCAAATCCTGCAGTGACTGCAAAGTGGTCGTAAAGTTCTCCAAATCACCCAACTCTATCTCCTCCCATTTGGCATAATGGTAGGTGGTAGAACGATCAAGAGCCATTTCATTGAGAAAGGAATGGGAGCTCTTTGATCTGGGATCACTGACAGCCGCAAGAAGTTGGTAAAAAATGTGGTAATTTCGCTCATTTTTGTCCTTAAGAGACAAGAAAACAACGCTCAAGTGAAGAATAGGGGTTGCCTTATGAGTCGCACACGAAGCTAGAGGTCTAACGGCTGTAATAATCAACTGTGCACAACACGTTTCCTGCTAGAGTTGCAAAGGAACAAGTCAGCACAAAGCCAAGGTAACATCAACACAAACAACTTCATCTGGTCAAGTTGATGGAGGCTCAAGGACTCAAAACATGTAAGTAACATCGGTTCAAGTGCCTCTCACTTGACAAGATTCACGATTTTATGTTAATAGATGCCATAAATGGAGAGGGAATACGTTCCACATATTTGCAGTGAGTCAATGAGGACATTCCTTGTTAGTTAAAGTGTTAACCGTCCTTCAAATTATTTAAATTACATTTTCTTTTCGGTATTTTGACCACGGCGAAAATTGGCCGAGAGGTCACTTTCTGCCTTAGGGTGAGCAAGATTACATGCCACGTAAAAAGTAAAAAAGTAAATTAGTTGTAATGGTTGTGTCTGTGGAGAAGTACTTCAACAACCAAGCTGACGGTATATTGCCCAGCACTTGCTGCTTTTAAGTACCCTTGTGCAATTGGGTGAACTTGCGATTCTGTGGGGTTCGAAGACATTAACGTATTGTTTATGTTATCTTTGAAAATGGTGGTGACTTTTCTGCTATTTCGCAAATAGCGGAATAAGAAACGCTGAAAGACTAGTCAGGAAGTTTCGGAAATCATTAATTTTATTCACCTATGGATTGTAGCAAATAAATTAGATGAGTATTTTGTAACGCTTCGATTGTTTGTTCAACTCTGCGTTTTGTTTACATAGATACTTAAGTCTTCGCAATTGTATTTCCACTCGTTAACACGACCAGTAGTTCCCCGACATTTTTATGTTTGTTTGGAATTCACGTATTTACTCATAATCTTCAAGACTTTACAATCATGGGCTGTTGCATGGTGGAGAGCACTGGAGGCCACCATTTCCTGGTGTCTTGGTTAATGATGTTTAAAACTGACTGAGTGACTGGCTGACTGACGGTGTGACGGTGTGTGTTGGCTATCAGGATTGGAAGATTTCTCACTTACATCTTCGTCATTGTTTGAAATGAACTCTTCTCACATTAACAGTGGTGAAGTTTTTTGCCTAGACGGAAGGTCAAAGTTGCGAAGGCTTAAGAGTAAACATGTCATTGACAACACTCAAACAATAAGAGCCAATTCTTCTCTCACTAACCTGTAGCACGACTCTAGATTTCTCCAGAAGGTACGTCTTTATACAAGCTCGCACAAGACGATATCCTACTTGACTGAAAGCGACCTCCAAAAACTTGCCGAAACGACTACTATTGTCGTTGTGGGTAGTCCTCGCGTTGCCCAAACTCTCCAGTAAGGGTGAGCTGGCCAAAACCCGTATTGGCATGGAGACTGTGTCCTTCTTCAAACTCAAACCTCTATAACGTCTCGTTGTTGTCATTGCTGTTAGGTACTTCAGTACGTGTCTTGCAGAAACCGTTTTTCCAGCACCGGATTCTCCTGATATTATGATGGACTGGTTCTGTTGCAGTCTGTAATAAATATCCGTACTGTTTATGAGATCAAACTACATTTTAAAGGGGAGAGCGAGGAGCGGCAGACCAGGTGAAATAACTAGCAGGTATTCAAGAAATCCAAACAATACCATAATTGCACTACACGCTCAATTAAGTGAGAAGTGTATCACATTGGTGACAGCCACCACACACTACCACACTGTCAGTCAGTCAGTCACAGGGGTAGCGTTTCGCACTACGTTCAGGCATGACAGCATGTTGCTCCTTTCATCTGCAACATTTCCTCAAAATGTGTTAAAAGCTCGTGATTATTCACGGTTTTTTAACCTCTCCGTTGGAACAATCGTTAAGAGAAAACGAGTCGCACAAATCAAACTTAAAGTTGCTTTTGCGTAGCTGGAAGTTCATACGACTGCAGACAAATACTTACCGCGACTAAACCAATAGAGATTCGAAAATGAGTCCACGAAATAACTACAAAGAACAGGTAAACGTGTGCACTTCCTTTAACATTTGGCATAAGATAGTTCCCTAGCACTAGGCTTGCATTGGAATTGGACAAGCGAACAAAGCACTCAAACACTTACAGCTTCATTCTACTGAGTGCCTCATCTGCAATCGCAAAAATGTGAGGATCTCGTCGGGTCTCGCTCTCGACGTCATTCTGGTTGTAGGCATTCATGAACTCCATGCCGTAAATTGGTAGATCTTCATAGGGATTTAGAACTATGAGAAGTAGTCCTAAAGTGTAAATGCGTATTAAATTCAACTGCGGCTAGAAATCGACAAATATGATGGCCAAAAGTAGTGTTGCTTTGACACAATGCGATGCAGCTGTTTCCCATTAAATGATGAAGTGCATACGCACAGCCTCTGCTATTTACTATGCAAACGTCATGCTTACATTGTTATGGTACTAATAGTTTGCAGTATGAGTTTTGTCTACAGACTGTTTGCTTCAAATGACATTTGAGACGCTTCTGATGTCTTAAAACCGAGAGATAATGTTGGAAAAACATAAAAATCATACAGACATTAATATCATACCACAGTAGGTGTAGATCTCGTGCTGATCGCAGAAACGGGTCCTCAAATTATGAAGTACTATCAAGTATAAAATAGAGTATTAATGGCTTAAGAAGATAGTTTTTGATAAGTGACTCTTGTCGTATGACTGGGCACGACGAAAGCAACTTTTGTGCACAAGAACCTGACACTTGCGCATAGGTTTCATTTTATGTACTTTAAGCATTATTGGGTAAGGATCAGGCTAGACAGGAAACCTAGGCACTACCAACTAAGCGGTTACTTACTAACGTATGTATCTCACTTAGATGCATTTCATAAACAAGAGGAAATAGACAAATTCTTCCCTAGCGAAATGTACTATACCTTCTGGTTCGTTGATGAAATCAAGACCAGACAAATCTATTTGAGGAATACATCCATATCCACAATCAAACAGTGACGAATTTTTGTTGCAAAGTGTGGTCAAATCAACGGCTTCTTGCTCATTTGAATCGAGCCACCGCACAGTTGCACTTTTTCTTTCCGACAAAATCCTCAAAATGGTAGCCGGCCTCCAGGTAAATTCGGATTGCGGTACCCACAGCAATGCACCTTCCTGTACAGACATTAGCAATGCGCAAAATAATCATAAGTAAACGACCTAAAGCGATTAAAAGTAGTGATTGTAAGTGAAAGCGGAACAGTGGAAGTTTTAGTCAGTTACAAATGTAGGAAAGTAACTTGTAGATTTGCGCAGTGTATATTTTCAGGCGAAGCTAGTATTAGGGGCAATGCTGCTTTCTGCGAATTCAGTAAATATTGGTGAAAGGATGAAAGACGTTATTTTGTACCACGTCACTCACAGAACACCATCACTAAAAGCGTACTGGGCTACCATAAAACAGAAGTGTCATATCTAGAAAACATGACCTTTCTCTTTCTGCAGCTTTTTACCTTACTGGGTGCGTTATTGACGTGCCAACATAAAAGCAACAACTCGCAGTAACCACCTTATGAGAAACAGGCATTTGAGGGCAGCTTCAATGACCTACACATGAAGTTATGCAATAGAGGCATGAAACATGCAAAGGTTCGACTGGGACTGGGCAATACTCCTCCCAGCAAAAGGTTTGACAATGGTTTTTGATTTCCATCTCTATTCTGGTAGTTACGCGCGCATTATAAAATAAAATAGCTAAAGGAAAAGAAAATATGTGACCACATTGCAAATGACTAATATTTGCATGCAAAGGCTCCGTTATATTAAGCAAAATATTGATGCAGATGTGAGGGTGCAGAGAATGGCACTGCATTCAAGCACTTAGCACCCACTTATATACATTTATTGATATTATTTGCTGAATCATAATGTGTCCTAACTTCCGGTTATGAGTTATCTGTTACGAATATCTTATCTAGTAAGTAAGTTACATCCGAGTAATGATAAGTCAGAAATGCATGAGACCTTATTCAAATATTTTGTTGGGTGCTTGACGTTAAGTACAGGGTGATGGCTCAGAGACTTTTGTGTCGATTTCTTTGAAACCCCTCTGTGATATTCTTTTTCGATTGTTTTGCTCCACTAATCTTACTATCTACGCCGTTGATTCAATTCGCGACCTTGCAGCATGTTTAGCTTTATTCCGTTCAAAACAACGTCAACGATTGAACAAACAAGTGAGTCTTCTTTAGTTTTTAGTCGCCACTTGCCTAGTAAGCGTCTTTTCGATCCCCTCATATCCAGTGAAACAGGTTATGCGGTGAGCGCATCCTGTGATTCAGGTATTCACCCCATACGTCATTGAGACTGAGTGCATCGTTCTTTCTGTATGTTAGGTGTTTCCTTGAGAGTTTTTTTTTGTTTTTAAACAAGTCAGCTGCGCCTCCGGTCTTAAAGGGGAAGTGGATACGAAATCGTAGTATTTGGTATATCCTGTAGTATAGTTTCACTAATCTGCAGTGGTTAGCATGTAACTTTGTTCCTTTTAGTTGAGAAGGCGGTTGGCGAAAAGGCTTCTAGGCGTATATTCTACTTCAATGAAATACGGGAACGTTTTCTTGCTTGGGAGGTGCCTCCTGAACGACAGGCGGAAATTTTGAGAAAAAAGCTGTTTGTTGCCGCTAAAACCCCAAAGCAGATCCTTCACCTAGTTGACCTCATTCTCATGCTCTTCAACCACTGTCAATCTGGTTTCTCCGATACCTTAATGGAATCGAAGTCGATAGAGCAGTTGATAACATCGCTTGTTCTGCTTAAAAGTTGTTCGAATGCGGCCAAAAAGCTTGCATGGTTAATTAAGGTAAAATTTTGCTCCATAAGTTTCACACTTTATCTAGCTCTTAATTTCCTCTTCTGAGAGCCTAAGCAAAATACCTGTTTATACAGAAGAAGTCAGTAAGGTGGAGATGGATGCATTTCGTCGTGACTCATGGGTTCCAGAAATGGTACGTATTTCATACTTTGCAGGATTGGCCTAATCCTTTGCTACCCATAAAATATAGGAAATTAAGTTAAAAGCAGGAGGTTAAGCACACCTTTGCATCCCTGCTACTATCCTTATTAGCTTGTGCCCGTTAGCGCGTGCCTGGGTAGGTAAACACTACACATTCAAATCATCATTAGGAAGTATTTCTTTGCTCATTCTCTCCTTTGTATAGATAATTTAAAATTTTGAGTTACTTTGCATGCTGTATCCTGCAGTCTTTTTTATTACCGATGGCAAGATTGGGGTCGGGACTATTCCTCTTACATTCTTTTATAGTCTTTGCATGATTACCACGAGCTGGAAAATTCGATCATCGAGAAATATGGAAATGCAGATAAGATTGCTCATATCATAGAAACCGTCGATAAATCCGATGATATAAAGGTAAGCTCACAGATGTGTGGCCTCAGTTATTGTTCTTTTGCGGCTTATTCTCTGCGTTTCCATAGATGATAGAGAAACAACGAAGTGAAGTAAAAGAAGTGGAGTGCTGCCTTATGCGCGATGGGAATTTTCTACAGGAAATTAGAAACTCGTTCTATATATCTGAATGGCCCAAATACCAACTAACAAGAATGTTAGATCAGATTCGCCGTGCGTTGTCCACCATCGACTGCCTACTGGTATGCTCTTCATCCAAGTCATTTTTTCCTCTTCCCTTCCGTGTAGTGCTGGAGAATGTGAGATTTGCCAGAATTTCCTTTATATTGTTCAGACTGACTGAAGAGGCTCCGTAGTAAATGTTTGCAATTGTTCTATCATACAGGCCTTCCTCTCCTCGCCCTTATAAGCGTCATCCCCTGCACTCACCTTTGTCGCTCATCTGTGCAGCCGATCTTTTTGGAGAAACCACTCACTTAACAGAATAGGGCTATGCATTTATTTTTTTTGCAGTGGGAGAGATGGTGCTTGAACCCACCGTCACAGATGCATCCTGTATACTACAAAAAATCCATTGCTTCACCTACTTTGTGAATTGAGTTGCAGGGTGGTAAATGGCCTAGCAAGAGTGTATTCCGTAAATCAATTTCCATTCATAGGAGCGTTTGGCATGGTTGACACTGTTCCTATTTTGTACTCTTTCTCCTGCCACTCCCCATCTTAGTGATGCATGTTCTTTTACCTGTGTTCATTTGCCCAAGAGAAGCGTAAACTAGAGCACATTCTTCAAATTGTTGGCTTATGTTCACAAAAATATTGCAAGCGGCTCCAAAATGGACGTCTTTTGGAACATTAACGTCTAATGTGGCTTCAATCTTTGATTGTCTTCTCGAAAAGCAGGAGATTGGAGTGATTGCAAGAAGTGGACGTGGTCCCGACAGCCATACTGTTGTGTGTCCACGAAGTCAACCATCTGCAAAATAGGCCTCCATATGTGAGGATTGCATTCCATATTCAGTTACTAAAATCACTACCCTTACTCATATGGATTTAATTCACTTAACGCTGGCCTCAGTGAAGCGCTGGAGTCTTCCCTAAACCTGTTGAAAGATGTAGGGGCCTGAATGGTGAGCTGTCGACCAAAATTACGTGCAATGAGTACCATAGCATCAAGACGGTAGCCGAAACCTCAGAGATTGAAGGCATCGTACAGCTAAGAATACAAGTAGACTCAGGACCGTTTGGTTATTCCTTGAGTTGTGTACGACTTGCGTTCCTTCTTTACAGGCTGCGTTGAGGAGTACCAGTATGTCGGTGACTTCATCGCCCTCCATGTCTTACGGAAGAAGTTATTTTAACAGTGTAGGTTATTGCGACACTTGAAGGCCAATATTCTACATAGTCGCTTCCCTTCAAAAATAAGTGATTTTTTGAAACGAATTGGGAAAGTCTAACAATACTTGCTGACAATCTATGAGGTGGTCATTAATCCACTTGTTTTTCTTTTCTGTTGAATAGGATGAGGCACGGCGGACAGGTAGCTATGGCTATTCCTCGGTGAGTATCTGATGTCCACAAATACCTATGAACTTCAACTTACTTCATCTCTGCAGACGAGTTTTTTGCTCGACACCGTATGCTTACGTTCATTTCCGCCTTGCGATTCAAAATGAAACTTCGACTTTGTTGAAATAGAGAGAAGGGGATTTGTCAGACAAATCCCAGCAATTCTAGGTTGGTTTGCGTTTTGTTAGACTTTCATCTATTGCTTAAAGTACAAATCCTGAACAGTTGGCTCCCTTCACTTGATTTCATCTTTCCGAAAGGTAGTGGCGTAGCAGCGTTTTCATCCAGCTACTTAAGATGTTTGATGCGCAGAATGCCACCATATGAAGCTCTTCTTTCCATGCCACTGCAATTCACCTTCTTTTGAATGTGTCCAAGTGTAGTGCATTCATTTCAACCGTTTGTGGGTCGTTCGTTCACTGTTAGTCTGCAGTTTAAATAACTCGAGAATGGTGATAGTTGTCTCGAATTCCTGTAGGGATTGGAGGCGTACGAAGCGAAGAAAAGGGAAGTCGTTGAGAAGTACACAACGACACGTGAACTTGAACAAATTATCTCGGTTATCGACACCACTGCTGATGTAGAGGTAAGCTTTTCAGTGGGGGCGACTTATGTTGCTCTTTATCACTGCTGCTTAACTCCACTGTTCTCTTTTTTCCTTCTCGCAGGTATTGCAGCAACAATATGCTGCCGCTCAAGAACTCCAACAGCGCCTCATCGAAGATGCGGCTGTTTTAAGGGATTTCCAAAGGCAACTTTGTCCCACGGCATCACCCGAGAATCCGTTAGAAAGTCTTCAAACTCAGACAAACACCACATTCACTGCTATCGAAAACTTGATGGTAGGTCATCTTACCACCCACAGTGTCCTCTGCATCCTCTTTCCTCTGCTCAACTTCTGCCCTGCTTTTCACAGAAAACACTAGAAGAAAGTAGTCAGCAAAGGAGGCCTTTGATGGCACCGCAGTACTCGGTAAGCGTTGTCGATCTTGAAAGTGTTCATACTATTACCCCACATAAGAAGCAAAGCTGTCAATGCAGATGCCATTTCAAACTCTTCTTCACTAGACCGGTGGATGTGCATTCAATGGTTGTGAAGGCGCCATGGTTGGTGTTGGTTTTTTTGTGTTTGGCTCAATAGCTTCATCATAGGTCCTAATCAGTGGTCTGTCACCCCTTAAAAACCACCTGAAATGCGTGCCATAGCATCAAGGTGGTAACAGAAGCCTCAGAAATTAAGGGCATCGTACGCCTAAGTGTGCGAGTGGAATCAGGTCTGTTTTGTTTTGCTTTGAGTTGTGTAAGACTCGCGTTCCTTCTTTACAGGCTGCGTTGAGGAGTACCAGTGTGTTGGTGGCTTTGGCGAAACGAATTGGAAAAGTCTAAAAATACTTGCTGACAACCTATGGGGTGGTCATTAATCCACTTGTTTTTCTTTTGTGTTAAATAGGATGAGGCACCGCGGGGAGGTAGCTATGGTTATTCCTCAGTGAGTATCTGTTGTCTTTTTTAGTGGTTTTTTTTTACTTTTTATATCTACATCATCTATGTAGAGGACGAAATTCTGTCTACATGTCCACTTTTTATGGCCTTCCCTTATTGCCTCTGTTTACATTACCGTGTCCATGTGGGTTACCACCCTTCACTCCTTTCACGCATCGTTTCAGTGTTGATAAGTCACTTTTTTTGCAATATAGGTGTGAAAAAATGTATTGTAAGCGTTGTTTTCATATTCCTGTACCATTCAGGCACAGTGCACACTCTTAACTGATAGGTGGATAATTGCTATTCTCGCCCTCATGAGGTTTGTTTCTCACCCTTATTACCACTTTTAGAAGATAGCCTAATTGGCTTGGCTTGTGGATATATGTGCTCATTTTATTGCCTACTTTATCATATGGTTTAATGCAAATCAACTTCTGACATAGCCGAAGTGCTGAATGTGTGACATTCTCATCCTTTCGACCCGTTGATGATTCTTCATAGCGTTGTCGTGTTCTCAAATTACTCCTAACTTTTCTGCTTCTTCAACACTATCCCGTCGTCCAGCTAAGTTGTTTGCAGCTTCTTGCAGCATGAAGAAGTATCATGTCTGTTGTAAATCAGTGTTTTGACATCAGTATCTAATTCACACACTTCCTGGTCCCTTTTGGTTTCTTTGTGTCTGGGAGTCTGGATACACCTTTATTATCGTTTTGTAGAAGGACTGGCAGAGTTCACAGTTCTCCATATCATCCAATCTTGGAAGGCCACCTGAAACCTGCTATTTTGTCATGTCATTTTAGGAACGACCCAACTCCGGTTGTGAATTGTCCGAGTACAAAATGAATACTGAGGTATGTTTGGGTGATTTCAGTGCTATTGCATTTGTAAGTGCTTTAAAAAGAGTTTTTTCCCACCACCAAAGCCAATTGGACACAATATGGGGAAATGAGTTTGTTCTGTCTGAGTGTACCCTACTATTTCACTTTTAGCCAATAGACATGAATACCTATCTCTGTCCTTTGTGTCAGCGTATTTTCCACTCCCAACGCTTACTTAACACCCACACGAGGCTAGAACACGTATGTCGAGGAGCACTTTTCCTCTTGTCTGCATTAATTAACTGTGCACCGCTGCTGGGCGACAGTATTTAGTAAAGTAATTTCATCTTCTTTGTAGCCGAACTGACGTGCGCACGCATTCCTTCATTCATACTTGTCGCGGTATGAAGAAAAAATTAGGACTGTAATTCTATATTGCTTTATTTTCACTTTCATATTTGACCATGGTAACACTTCCATCTAGCAGCTGCTCGACTCTTGTGCTATTAATATACTTTCTTCTAAAGTCCCATGCCTTCGACTGTGGTAATTATGGTGTTGCGTTGACAGTGGGATTGCTGAGCTCACTTGAAAATAAAAAAGACCTCAAGTTTGCTGCGCAGATTTGTGGCAGAGGTGTCATTGAAACGCCATTGGCTGTCGCGATCATCTCAGCTCCGAGTCCTGCGAAATGAGTGGAGTGTAATCGAATCATGCAAGAAAAACAAATAGCGTGTCAAATTTTAAGACACGGCCACCTTTTATGAGAATCGACACGTAGCTGAAGTATCGAATAGGTATGTTGTATTATGTATTTGGTTAAGTAGTCTTGCCTCCTCAAAAGTAGTTGACAGCCTAGGCACGCAGGTTGAAGAAGGTTGTCCATTCTTGAATGACATGAGATAGCCAAAAAGGGTCGTAGTGACTTGCAGTACCAATTGATGCAATGACTTGAACTGCTTAGGGACGCTTAGGATAAATACGGTTTTGTGTATTCATCGTGAAACATGGTATACGCCAGTCCACCGTATTCCATGCTACTTGCCTGGCTACTTTGATCTCGCATTGCACAAACTGCTGGTCGAACCTGCTGGACGTGACTTGATGTCGTCTACTGCTGTACGAGAACCGAGTTGAACGCATTTGCCGATCGTTGACTGCAGAAGCTTCTTGTCATACTTTTGTTCCCTACAGAAAGTGTGGTAGAAGAACATACTGCTCTAATTATGATTTATTCGAAGGTGGGTATGTGGCGTTTGGGAGGACCCTGCATTCTTAACAAAAGTGACGGATTGCGTGTTGTTGCTAGTTGCAACAGTTACTAAGTATCGTAGTGGGGGACGCAAAGGTTCGTGGTGGAACCTAGCAGGTAAACAGGTCCCACCCATATACCATGCCTCGAATGAATGCAGATGAGGTGTTGCCCTCCACCTCCTTCTCGTTGATTTTAATGGTTTTCGTGTAATTTGTGATGAAAAGGGATTTTTAGTCTCTACCATCCGTCACAATCTTATCGATAGGCGACTATGCATACTTTGTGCACGTCCATCACAACGACCGATTACGTTGGCGGTTTGTCTACCTGGCACACGATACACCTGGAATGTGTGTGTGTGTGTGTGGTGGAAAAGTAGTTTGAAAAAATGTCAGGGTGAGTCAATCAAGTGGCACAAAGTCCTGTTCTTGCAAGACAACTCAAGAGCTTACTTGTGCGCAGACCTTGCACTACACCTTAACATGGAGGGAGATAATGTCTCATTCTTCCGCCTCTGCATTTCTTCAGTACTTCTTCAAGTAAGGTTTATTATCTTGCCAATACACTGCGAGGCAATTTGCGATCGCGATATGGTAGGTGGAACTACGGGAGAGTGGAAAATTCTTGCGGTTATTGCTAACTATCCAATGGTGTCTCCTCCCTTCCTCGTAGGTAATTTTGGCACGCTCAGAGCTCTTTTATCCCCACAGCTAAAGCGAATTGAAACTGGGTGGATATTTGGCTGGCCGATGTTTGTCGTAATTACACGCACTGTTACGCAAACCCTCCCAATCCTCGCAAATCGTTTCAGTGCCCACTGCGGTGACATGAGGACACATACCCTAATACCTCCTCATCTCTGTGGCACGTTGCTACAGCACCTGATTAGAAGGTCGTATAAATGACGGGTCATTGCTGCAGAAACTGGAATGCTGGGCAGACAGTGTTATTTGCAAGGGACTTCTTCGGCATTTGCCAGTCTTCATCTTGATCATTTAAAATAGCCAGCTACAAGAAACTGTATCGCTTTCATTACCTGACAACGCGTAGATCTACGTCACTTCTGTGTAGTACATTCAACCCCTGTCAAGAACACTCGCCTCCTTAGATTCTCTTCAGGCAGATCAATGGGGTTGGAATCTCAGCCGTCATCGTTCCCTTGCGTCTCATTTAAACGTGAAATTTGTCTGCCACCCAACACTAATATCCCATCTTGAAGTTAAATCTACTCCAGTATATGACCCGTCGATGGTTTTATCGTAAGAGCATCATAGGATTCGCTGACCAGCTGATTCCCCTGAGCAACCGATGTGAACGGTTGAATGTAGCGAAATTGGGAATTGAATAGCTCCTCCGACGACAACAAGGCATAGGAAAGGCTGATGCGTTGCAGGCATGCAATGAAGGTCTCGTTCACAATACGGTGCTGGAAGCTCTGGAGACTGCAGAATCAGAAGTCGGAAAAGAAAATTGGGACTTCGATGATAGCGAACGTGTTGGATACCCAGTCAGCCACAGCTACTTCATCTGATCATCGCCACTGGCATTTCGCGTGGCCATCTTACTGTTTCGGCCGCATTGAATCTTTTTGGAAATTGAAAATGACCACAATGAATAAAAGACAATGATGGAAGGCAACATTAATGGGAAAGCTAATGTACAGTGGTGGTATCACACCTCATATGTTTGGCTGGAACTGCTGACCAAAGCAGCCTCCTATAGGCAAGACTTAAATGTAGTGGAACTTGTGCGAAACTCGTGTATAGAAGTGGGAATCGTGTTTCGACAATGATAAACATTTTTGAGTTTATCAGCGGAAAGTATTCATTTAGGGTCGGTGGAACTGCTACTTGGAAGACTGTTTCGTTCAGCAACACCTGCCACAGTCCCACCACCTAGAGTTTATGGTGAAGGTAGATAGCGAAATCGAGGATAAAAACAGATCAAGTCTAGTCAGGAACTGCAATTGATCAAAATATGCTATATAGTGATTCAAATTGTGCAGAAATGCCATGGGAACATAAAACTCACAGCTGCGTGAACAATCCGTTCTACAGGCAATGGCAATGCCAGCAGCCTACTGCGAGGGTGCCTCTAGTGATGGTGTCAACGTGGAGGTGGCTCGTGCCTGTGTCATGGCTACACTTTATCCGTCCAGTCGTTTGTGAGCCACCCGTAATTTTAATCGCGTTGACTGCCGCTTAGGACCTCGGTCACGTTCAACCCTCGTGCTTGCATGAAGACGACAAGGCACTAATGGTTCAAACAGGAGTACTAAGCAACCCAAATTTTACGACAATTACAAACAGTAATTAACAGGTAATCTCAACTCTCTGAGGCCAGGTCTCATTTTCGTTACTGGCCATTATGCAGAACTCGAAATTTGAACCTTGCCAAATGCCAAAATCGTCTTGATAGTAATTCCGTGGTAAGTCTCCTCGGATTACTTTTAGTAATCTACGTGGATAACTTGCTTCTCCAGTGTCTAGACAACCAGCCAACACCTTCAATACAATGGCAGAATTGGCGGGACATGAAGAGCCTGTGTAGTTAAGCAATACAACCCAATTATGATAATATGTTCAAGTATTGGGTGGTACTATTTTGGTCATCTGCTTAAGTGCTAAACCTTCCTATTAAGTATTGTGGATTCATTCATCCAAATCAAGGAATAGTTGCATTAGTGGTTAGTTAAACACAACTGGCGATTGCACAACCTCTCTTATATGTAAATTGACAGGTAAACCTCCTGCTTACCGCCCCCGCACAAGGTACCCACTTAATTCGCTGCGCTGATAGATGTGCGCGTTTGTTTTCTCACCTAGGAGTGGTTCATAGGCCCCATTTTTACGCCAACAACATCGTGTGCCGGAGTTACTTGCTGCACCTCAAGACTAATGGTAGGTTGCTTTCCATGTCATGCTCCAACTACTACAAATAGTTGGAAAGTTATGGTGACCAACTAACTGTCCTTTAATGTGGATTTGTGCCTTAGTACTACTTATTTTAGACTGATTTAATGTAGAAAAGGTAAACGAAGGGATTCTCCCATCTTTAGCGAAGAAATCTAAAAGTTGAGGCGCAGATGAATAGCTTCATACAGGGGAGTCGGTTGACTTTTTCCAACCGATAAGTGTTGTTGATGAGCGGATCCGTTTTATAACTCTATTTTGATCCTCTCATGTGTAGATGTTGTCTTTTTTGAGGAAATAAGATTACTTACTGTGCAATATTAATCAGTGTGATTCCCACAGAACTTTCAGTGAGGAAGTCAAACAAATGTGAGTGAATATTATTACATTGTAGACATTCATGAATCTAACTAGGCGAACAAATTAGTAATTTTAAGTGGAAGGTTATCCAAAGCAATCACTACTAAGTCTATTCCAAATCCACTTCACGACAACATTACTCATTTAGGATAATGCAGTATCAGTGCTGCCCAGTTCATCTAGTAATTGGACTGGTTGACAATGTTCTCCCCTAACACGCTATACCTAAACGAATGTGGGCAAAATAACCCTGTTTCTTCCATAAAATAGCCTTTATTTATCACGAGGGACGAGGAGTTTAACACTGAAGCCAGTATCAATGCGTTGAGCAGTAGGGGCGCAAAAGGGACTCCAAGCAGCAGAGAATCGGTTGCAATTGTTAAGGTGAGAGGTCTCTTGAGTAAGTTAACTGTGCCTAGCGGCCTCAACCGGTGGCGCCGAAACCTAAGAACGTGGAAGAACGCTCAGGATTAATAAAAAAGAGAAGCGTTAAACTGGTGAGCTTTCCACTCTACTCCTTACCTATGCAACCAATTATTTGCTTGCGTTCTTAAACTTACTTTCATTAAAGCTGTTAGTAACATTGTAATTTTATGAAGAAGCATACGTATTTGCTACAGGTTCGTACAGATCTTCTTTCTAAGGCATGTTTTAATCAAAGGTTGATTCACCCAAAGAGCCGTCAGCTCCTACAAAAATGGAGAGCAAACCAAATGAAGGAGTCGAAGATACGGAACTGCGAAAAGACTTCGTTTGAATCTGCGGTGAAATTTAGTTAACATATACACAACTGCATGTTTTACACCAACAAATAGATTTCTTTCCCATTCCACTTTGTTAATGGCCTACTGGGGTAGAAGGACTTCGCCACTTTCTTTGTGGTACTCAAAATCATTTAAAGCGTAAGAATCGGCCGTCACTTTTGCTGCATTGAAATTGCGTTAAACTGGTTTAACTAAAGTACTGTTGTTATGCCAATTGCGCCCAGTTTTCCCACAAAAACACCTACAGGAGAATTAACATTTTGAATATTCAACACAAAGGAGGATACCCATAGGGAGCATTTTGGATTTTCATGCAAAAGTTATATCTTCCCGAGTCTTTGTAGGGAATTTTTCTCATTACAGTGGATCACGATGTTCCAGATTAGCTTGCTTTTTAAGTGTTACAAAATATGTTGCAATGCTCGAGTTGGTTGGCTAACGGTCGGTTTCGGCAGAGGACCACTTTGTCTTGGCCATTGTACCTCGCTGGGTGGGCTGGCCTCCGGGCCATATTGGTAGCCCCAATACCTTTTGTGTGTCGAATACATGGGAATCTTGGGGCCCTGCATAATGCGTCATCTTTTGAAGCCATATTTCCGCGGATTGCATACATTAGAAATAATGCATTTACATTTGTACTAAGCAAAAGCTGATAGCTACATAACTAAAAGTGGGTAAAATATGGAATTATGAATTATTCAAATAATTTAAAAGTAATTGGAAACCCTAATACTATCATAAACAACTGCATCACTAAGTAGAAAATCTTGCACAGAAAGCCCAAAAACTCGCCTTTTCCATCTACATCGAGTGCATGTTTTCAATCTAATTGGAGTAATATAAATGGCCTTCCGAGATTATAGGTACTAATGTATTTTAACGCATTATTGCGTCCCCTGCCTTTTGATTAACCACTTCATTGACGTACTTTTGTATGTTATGCCGACCTAAATGGTGATTACAGTGTCAAATTAGCCCGTAAATGTAACTGTCATCTGGTCGTTGATTCCAACGTCAGTTGCATGTTTCCACATGTGATGTGTACATCTCAGTTACATTAGCACAATATCATTTACGCGGTCTTCTCAAATTACTAATCTTTGTTGTTCTACTTACAAACAACTGACCAACTGAGTGGTACTGTATTTGGCTCTAGTTACCCGTACATCTTTTTATTTTCCGATTGTAGTCTCCTTCACAAGTGTAAATCGTCCAACCTTCGGTTCAGTGGCAAATTCTGGCATTTTTCTCCGGATTTACCCTCGAATACCATGGAAATCATCTCCGGTCTCGAAAATAGCATTTCGCTTGTATTAATATTATCATCGATTATTGTCGCCGTGTTTTTAGTTTCACTCATCCGTCGCTTCATGTCCCCTTCCGAGTAAATTTTGTTCTTCTTGTCCCTGCTGATTATTTGTTTTCATGCCTTTTACTAATTCTTTTGGCTTTAAATAGCTCATTAATTCTTCTTAAATTCCAAAAACCCACACCTTTGCATCTTATGTGGTTCTACCATATTTACATTTAACTTTAAACCTTACTGAGGCCTTTAAATTCACTTTTCCTCCCTGCATTAGAATATCACAAATCCACCCCGAAAGTGAACAGACCGTTAACGAAGTTCGTCAGTCTCGAGCCACACGAAATCGTTGTACCTCTAACGGTGATTCCGCACCTTCTTCCAATATCGCAGAAGTGGATGACTGTCCCATCTGTCTGGAAGATCTCAAGTTCGCAGTCGAGACCAACTGCCGACATCGGTTCTGTGGTAAGTTACCCACACACGACTGGACAATCCCCTTTTTGATGCGTAACACTTCTTGGGCTTCCTTGCAGGTGAGTGTTTTTACGCTTATTGGCAGAGGTTTCCCCCATTATCTCAGCCGAATTGTCCCGTCTGTCGAAGTCAGGTAAGCCCTTGTTCAGTTCCTCCTTTTTCGACTTTTCGGCCCACAAAATGTTGTCTTTTTTCGTGCATCTCCCATTACTAAACTTGAATGCTTAATGGTACGGGCGCGTTTCAGTCAAGGCAGAACTTTTGGGCTATTAAAATATAAAAACATTTGCCAAGGGGTGAAAAATACACGTGTAATTTTCACAGCTTGACTTTATGTCTATACGCTCATTCCAGAGACCAATACTCAGAGAGCTTTGGTCTGGAAACACTTATCAGTGTGGCTGAATTGTCGCTAGACGACTTGCTACACTGTTGCTCTATTCATCATGCGCTAATTTTTCGGAGGTGTAATCATTCGTTTGTTCAGCACTCTCGCTGAACTATTCGCTTCTCGTGCAATTTTGTTGCATGACGGGTAGCTATGCGTCGTTCAGGTGATCAGAACCACACCCTGAATGTTCGCCCTACTTAATGACTGCTGGTTTGGGTTCGTCGCTAGCAGCCGTGTCACCACTCTTGCAACATTTGCACCTTCTAGCTACCTTACCGTTGAACGGCTGTGTTCTGTCATTTGACTCTGATTGAAGCCATATTTGGGTTCGGGTTTTGTGCCTTCGTTGATAAGAAGCATCACTTACCACCACGCGCTACTTTATGCGCGCATTGTTAATATCAACCACCATTGCGATTAACTGTCTTGACTAGACCGGCTGACGACATATGTGCTATCTAGCACGATCACTAACGTGACCAACCTCCTCTTTATCGCCATGGCAGTGCCCTTTTTCTGTATCTATGACCGTATAAATTTTGCCTTGAAGTAAAAGTCCCTCGCGAATTGCTAAAGTCGTATATTTCGTGTCAATTTTAGTTGCGATTCCTGCTCAAACGTTTCACACCCACTGATCTGGATACTGGTGACCCGGCAGAACGGTCCGAGGTGGAGTCGAGAGTTGCCGTTTTCAATCGTCGTTTCTCAGGAAATCCGGTTTCTGTAAGCGCTTTGGACGTGCCTACTTTTTCTTGTCTGTGTACAAACCCCTCAGTTCATCCTTCTTATTTAATTGAGTGGTATCTTACTATTTCATTAATGATATTTAGGCGTATTTGTATTGCTATCGCATTAATCCATAGTACTTTCAAGTACAACCTTCCGAAATTCTTTTCTTAAATCATGGGATTTTGCACTTTGAACTCGCTGTAAAAGGGGATAATTTGGCTCATTTAGAGCCTGCTATGCGGCTCTTTCGTCTTGTTTCTGAGTTCTTTGTTCATCCTAAAACGTTGGCGGTCGAAGAACAGCGTTTTTACGACTTCGTGCCCTATGAAGGTTGCTTGAGTTGGTGGTTTTGGAGATGCTGGTTTAGGCGTATTCACTAGAAGTTGGCTTGCCTTTGTGAGTTTAACCACATCGGTGCCATTCAGTAACACTCCTAACCTCTAGTAAGATGCACTTTTTAGAGCTTTAAGTATTTGCAGCCCAAATTTTAAATATGCTTTCGACGCAATATTAAAACTATCGTCATTTGGAGTGACGTTCTGAATTGGTTTGTGTCCTCAGAACTCGTAAAATCTGTTCTATGCTGTAAAATATGGTAATTTTGCACATTTTTCTCAATCTATGTAAAAACCAAGCACTAAGAATTTGATTCTGTAATAGGTAATTTCATTGCATACCTGTGTGGAACGAAAAGTAGTGGGCGGGTGCTCTTTACCAACTAAAACAAGTAGTGGAAGTTTCGACATCGGATAATGCCGTAGCGATGCATTGTCTGAGCCACTGGGCATTATCAGTAGCCTATTCCTTGCTCACGTCTAAAATTTTAAATCTGCACCGAGTAACGTTTTTATTCCCTCTATTGTGAATGTAATTCTCTATCCCTTTCTCCGTACAGCTTATGGACCAAATACGCGACCTTCCAGTTTTGCTGCGCTACTGCTGGCGTGTAATGTTTGAGGGGGAGGCAGGGATCTCGTGCCTCCTGAGACTACGTCTTATTGTTCTTTTCCTCTTTGTCTTCTTCTACGTCATCTCGCCACTGGATATCTTCCCCGAGTCCATAGTGGGTGTCTTTGGTCTCCTAGATGACTGTCTCGTCTGTCTTGTCTTCTTCATCTACGTAGCTGCCCTGTTCAGAGGACACCTGATCGCCGATGCTTGACCTATATAGATTTGTCTGGCTTTTTCCGCATCTATTCAGGCGTTCCTTATTATCAGTATAATTATTACTGCTTATGTTGCTATTATTGTTATTCGTTTTTTTTTTCATGGTTTCGCTACAGAATAGAGGCATTTATTCGTGGGTATTTTTAATTTTGTGGCTACATCCATAGTTTTGATTCCTGATTCGGCACCTCGATTTGTGGACAAAGTTCGTTGGTTCCTGGTTGATTGGGATTGTTTTGTAGCAACCATTCTGCCAAAAATATCTTTTAGGACGAAAAAAAATCTCATTAGTTAGATTGGATGTAGTGCATCCTCTTTTATCCAAGAAAACTCGGGAACTAACCACAGGGTCTTTGGGTTTCTTTCTACACACTTCTGTGAGTCCAGTTAACAGGGTTGGAATCACGTTTTTCGAGAGGTAGTCTTTAGCGTATTGTTTCGTTGGAATTGGTTCCATAATGGCTAAGTCGGATTTTCTACTGCATATGGTACTTACTGTTTGGAAAGAAGAATCGGATTTCCCTTACAGCACTCGCTTTTGACTCACTAGCATGAAATGGATTCTTCATCTCCACTCCACCGAATTCGTTCCAGAACCTTAAAATTAGCATTTAGCATATACAGTACATTTGTGCCAGTCTGTTTTCTGTATCTTTTGATGTTGGAAAATTAACGATATCTTTCCATGTTTTAGTGATGCCATTTTTGACATAAACCATTACGAGAATTAGGCCACAACTGAGGTCCTCCACCAATTGGATGTAGTCCTCCTGATTCTTTCTATCTTGGTAAAATTCCATAGCCTGCTCTAAAGAAAGCTTAACAAATCGCCTCTGTATATGTTGTAAATGGTCAGCAATTTTTCTGCCTTACGTTGGTCACAGTAATGCCATCCTTCATTAAGATATCAACTAGAGGGACTTCTTTTTTCCATGCGGCGGTTTTAAATATAGCCAAAGTTCTCTCTAAAATAATCTCTGGATAGTTCTTATTCTCCTCAAGCAACTCATTATTTAATGCGCTCAATTTTCCAGCCGTCATTACAATTTGCGCGTTAGTAACTAACCTTCGTCACCATAACTGCTGGTATTTTAGACTGTAGAAACACTTGTAATGTGTAAATAAGTTTGGCCTCCCATTATAATATCCTCCCTTTGTGCCCATTTGGTAAAGTTTGTGTTCTTAGCCCACTATGTAATTCGTAATTAACGAAATTACAAAAACGGTGAACGATTAGGGACGTTGTCATCATGGCAACTAACTGATCAATTGTGTCTATTTTATGACTTTGTGGCGTTTATTTACCGGTCGCATATGTCTTACTTTTTTGGCTTAAATTCTTCAAATCACATATTTGGTACAACCATGTGTCTTAACTATTTGTCCATTTATGATTTAATCTTGCACATTTAGTGACAACTCCCGAGAGCCACATTTTCTTCAGCTACTAATTAGTGCAATAGCACAGGTCGCATTTATCTGAAAGCAAGCCTAAAAATTGCGGTAACATTGGTGCACCGATTTTACTGCAATAGTTTTACATAGACGTAGGCATGCGCGCTTACGACCAAGCTTTAAGGTACGCCAACAATAAACATTTATTACCTGTCCAGCTTTTTACAACTACAGGGGTGATTCAGGTACTATATTAATGCTAGTGGTAAGTGGGCCCGGACTACAAAGATGACTATCATCTTTGTCGTAGCTACTTATTAGGCCCCCATTTTACATAAAAACAGCATTTGATGTTTATGGTTGGATGCAAACACCCTTAACAGATTAGTTAAAATGGTAATTGCTTTTACTAATTGCTTTCAATCTCATGTTCTGCAAGACGACCATTAAGATCCGAAGCGAAATTTGGCTGGAATTACTAGGAAAAGTTTAACCTGGAGCTGTTTACTGTTTTCATTTAAGAATACTAATTACATGTATAAAAGAAATGGTCACCTCTTTTAAAACCTAGATAGACGGCCAGGCAGCCTAAAAATAAGAACAAAGATGCCAAACAATGGCTCACAAAGCTACTTTAAATTAAGTCTTTTCTTGAATGGTTCTGTTCTTTGGCAAATGTTCCAATAAATAGCGAATGAATTACAAATACCTTCACTGACTTCCCCTCTTCATCCCAATTCACAGGTAGGACGAAACTGTAAATACAATGATTTCGGCACGACCCATTACTGACGTCGGGACCAGACGTCCTTTCACCTACATAAAAAGCTAGCAGCTGTAGTTTTTGACTCATAAATTGTTTTTGAATCGCGAAATACGTCGAGGATGGTGCTCAAAAAATGTTTAACTCTGCAGGCTTTCAGTCTGCGCCAAGTTTAGTACCACTTGGCGACAAAGTCTGCCGCCTATGTCTTTAAGCCTCCCCACCCTTCTATACTTTAACAATAACCAATCTTCCATCTTAGTGGTATGATTTATGATGAATTTTAGGGACACTCCGGGTATTACGTCACAAATTTCGCCGCAAAGCTTTGTTACGTAATAAAAAGATGCGCGATTATGATGAGGCACTTTTCACAGGTAAAAGCAATTTCAGTCACGTAAAACTGCAAGTAAGAGATTCACTTTCATCGTCTTTATTGTGCCGCCATCTCATTGCATTAACAACTTCCGTATCTTCATTTCACTGATCTGAAAGTTGATAGGTGTTAGTTTAAACAAATCAAACTGATGGAAAAAATATAACCCAGGCCATTAATTGCTTTTACCTGGTTTTCTTCAGCCAAATGCATCAATTCCCAGATTTTCTGACGAATATTTCCTTCACTGCAATGCTTCAAGTTAGTTCCATTTGCATCCGGCGCTACTGTTAATCCAGACTGGCGTTCACCGCTGTAATTGCATCTTAAAAGACTCATAAATTCTGCGTATTCTTCTTCATCAACTTCAGGGATGCCGAAATTAGTATTTCCTAACATTCGGAGCACGAAATATCAGGAAGTTTGTTTAGAGTCACGACAAAATGGAAGATTAGGCAGCTCTTGTCATTAAATAAATTTCTAACTAGGCACCTGTCCCACCCTCAACGGGGTCTGCTGTTTTGTTCGGGTCCCCCGGACTCTTGTTGACAATGTAGGCCTGGCGCAACTTCCTAGCCTCCTCCAATCGGAGACATGCATTTTCACCAAGCCACGACCTCTGTACTTCTCTCAGCTCCGCTGGTGTCAGCCCATAGGGCTTGAGGACAACTGACTCCTTCAAAAAGCCAATTTAATTGTCAGTGAAATACGGGGAGTAGAATAGTGGGATAAAGATATGCAATACAATAAAAGATCGAGTTAAGTCATGATCTTAAAGGTTACATCACTCCTTGCTGTAGCGTTCTACCATCATATCCTACTGCCAGTCCCAAAGACCACATACATGTCGTGAACCTGTCCGGGCCTGTTAAGTTTGTTCCACTCCACTCCAGCCCTACCCAATCTAGTTCAATCAAACTCTAACACCCTTCATCATAAACGCAGTCACCTGCAGTTGTGATTGTATGCGTGTATGCTATACCACGTGGTGTTGAACCAAATTCCACCTTAAAGGAGACGCCAAACCCATATCCGAACATTTCTACTAGAATCCACAGCATGCCAAGGTACGATACAGCATTTCCGTGGCGCTAACCTTCCAGAATTAGGCGACCATACGTCTGTTTGTCTATGACAGTCAAGATCATGATACTTTGTGTCCTACTCACAGTACACCTATCCGTGAGTGCTGTGATCACTCATTGGAAAAGTAAAACACCCGCCTCATTTTGGAAGTACGACTAACTCAAAATTGTACAAGAGATGAGTCTTTTGCTGGAATGTTGAACACAATACAAGCGCTCACAAACAATTGGTAGTTCGGACTGATGGATACAAAGACGCCTTTTCCTCCGGTTCAGTCTTACCGCCACATAAATGTTAAATGCTTGCATAGCTGACTAGATGAGGAGGGTAACCATGTCAAAGTAAAAGAAATTCGTTCTCCTTAAAATCTGCTATTTTTACTTGGGCTTACAACTAGGAAATGGGAATAACTTACTGGATTCGCTGCATTAAAGTAGACTCTGCAACTCCAACTGGGAAGCGTTGGGTGCTCCGGTGTGTGAACCCTCCTGACTGAACCGATTCTAGTCCTCGCTTTGCACGAGTCCATGTCACTTGAAACACGTGGTTTCTCCTCATAGTCCACTAAGTATGAATTTTACAAATGGCTTTGTCTTGTAATAACAGGACATAATACTTGACCTTTAGCCCAATACTTTTCTCGTTCCCACTATTCCTTTGTTATTAGAAATACGGCTTTGTGCTGAAACCTTGCGTCAAACTGTTTCTAACGGCCAGAAATTGCTACTTATTTAACTTTCTTGATCGCCCAAGAATGATGAAAATGAATTTTATTTCGTGCCATTTTTAATTGCTGAAATAACTTCCGGAATGGCACGTAGCTGCTAGTCAAACGTGCCATTCACTTTACCATTGCGGTCTACTTTAACCCTTTGTGTGACTGGAAAACTGGTGCTTTACCATACATAAATTGTCCAACTACTACTTCCTATGATGACAAACTTTAACTTAAACTTACTCCTCTTTGAAAATCGTGAAATTTGTGTTTTTTGTGCAAAACTATGCATCATAATTTAGCTATTTTCGGAGTCAAAAATGGTCATCGCTATCTCACACATGAATGCACAGATATGTGGAAGATTTGTCATACTGGTTCACTTGAAAACCCATATTCGTATGCAATATTTTGATTGTTTGTCTAACTCTTTGTTTTGGTTACGCGAGCAGAGGAGGCTCGTTGATTGTGCTTTTTCTCGGCGGCATGGTACCTAGGCCACGCCAGCAACCCCTCAACCCTAGTATTATGACTTCTGTCGTCTTCAGAAAAGTCTCGGAGCCCTATATTAGTGACAGCGATCAGCGAATCTGATCCTAAAGGCCAGCTATCCCAAATCATGTCATTAAAATAGTAAACCTTATAGTGGCAGAAGAAGAATAGCTGCCACTTATGGGGGGATGTGTGATGACCAAGAACAGAAGAGTTGAAAATGATGCCTTCCTTCGGCAACTACCTCTCTCCCGTATTCTGCAGGAATGCTATGAACAGATGAGGCAAAACTAGCCGTGAACCACATGGAAAAAGCGATTTAGATTTGTCTACAGTATGAAGGTGCCAATTAAGTGAACATGCGGTACCCCCTCCACCTCTCTGGTAGATGGATAGAACCCAGATACCAAAGTGAGAATAGAGCGGCTAGGTGGAATAAACGCAAAACCTCATCGCCAAGGAACAATTTTAAACCCTCCTTCTTACTAAATGCCTCTGCTTTGAGGCCAATGTTCCTATGTCAAGCGAAGAACATACGGGATGGCCATCACATTCACTCATCCTTAATACAGTTTCTAAAGAGGGCAGAGCTCCAGATCCTGTGAAACTGTCGAGAGGAATTAGTAGCATTGCATTCAAATATTCCCTTAGTAGTATACAAATTCAATGATTGGGGCGGTTTGTTGGTGGGTGGTTTTCTGACAGCATCAATCACGTTTTGATTGCTGACGTGAGAGGTTGACCATGGGGAGCGCCCGATGGGCGACGCTCAAAAGGGGGAAGGGAGGCTACATAATACTTTGATTGCTTGTTTAACTTTTTTTTGTTTACGCGGGCATTCAAGACTTGTCTCTTTTACTTTCACTGGGCAACATCGCCCCCTGGCCATGACAGGAGCCCCTCTCTCTAACCCTTCGGTACGTCGGTAATAAATAGTCTCTCCTTCTACTAAGTCCTCCCGTGTATTCAGGGAAGTCTCTTGGCTAATGTATAAACCAAACGATTGGAAGTTCATTTTAAGGGTTTTTTTATTTTGCCTCCAAACATTTTTTAAATTTAAAATGCCAATTCGAAGGCATACGCTTTTGTCAAAACATGGTTGCTCCTGAACTTCAAGCCCTGAAACATGATTTTGGAATCTTCAGATCGTGTAAATTGTCGACAAATTTTACATAATTTACTATATTGCTTATTTAGTCTTGGGGTTTTAAAGGCAAAATTATTTGATTGGGTTAAGGCCTTTCAGTCAATGGGAAATCCTCTTCTAACCAAGTTTTATAATGATGTTTTTTTAATTTAGCATTTAAATATGGACCAGATACCTCTCATTTCGTTCATTCTTGTCTCCTTTATTTTCGCAATCATTGTCCTTTCTTCCTCTGAAAGGTGCAGTTCATCCACCCTTACGTAGGCTTCGAGAATGTAGTGACACAGGGAATCGGTCTTCCGCGTGTTTGAATCAACTCCTTCAATGGGAGGTGGTTTCTACAAAATGATTTCATTGTAATTATACTCTAAATCTGTTTAAGAAAGGAAAATGGGTACTTTTTAAAATAGTGGGAATATATTTTCTAGAGCGACACCAGTGTAACACTTCATTTTCTCACGAAAATGTTGGTGCATTAGATTAGTTCAAGGCAAACCGGGACTTTGGATTTTACTTCTTAAATCATTCAAAGGTATTATGCTCCTCTTTGTCATCAATGCCTTAATTCCGGTCTCCTAAGTGCCTTTTAATGAATTTGAACAGGTGGATGTCATTTTTTCTACCCGATGAAGCAATTAAAGATTCTGCTATGGTCAAAAGTGGTAAGTTATCTTGATATCCAGTGCGCACCGTCGCTAAAAAATTGTATTGGTTTGTGATTGATTGCATTTTGTTCATCTTTTCCACGGCTATACTTGTCTCTTATACAATTCTGCCTCAGAACAGGTGGTTATGCTTTGATCAGGCGTCCGGGATGAGGCAGGCACAGCACTGCAGAACAGTTGTACTTCAATCTGTATTATCGCCTACCTCTAGAAAGTTTGCATTCTTGAACTGTTCTACTGATAAGCTATTAAGCGTGTTATCACCATATCGCGCCATGTCACGTTATGTAATGCTATTGTGCGCAATGGTGCCCTTAAAGTCGTCCGTAGTTTCCAATAGAAATGTGTGGATTCAGGTTACGTGACTCTCTTGAAAAAGGATTTGGTTCATCTGCACACGGTGTTGCATGCACGCACATATTCAACCTCAGTTAACTAGAGCTATGAAAAAAGGTGTATGAATTGGACTGGATTGAATTGGGTTGTTTGGAATTGGACTGGAGCCTGGTATGTGGGCTGGCTGTTAGGAGTAGTAATGGGATAGAGTAACAGGCAGGCTGATGGAAGGACCGATGGGTGGATGGTTGGATGGATACGGGATGGATGGGTGGATGGATGAATGGATACCTTTCACGTTTGCACTCACTTCTTGGCATTTCTTGTGATTATGCGACTCTTCCAATGCTTTTGAAGCATCTGCGTTTTGATATTCTGGCAGTCCTACATCCAAGATGTCGCTTTTCGTTGTGCCACCTACTTCTGAATTCATGTCCGGTCCAAGAAGGAGAGCTGGCATCAAGTGCACTCCTTCCGGCTCTTCTTGTGAAGCCGCAAGCTCACTTCCTTCACTGGAGCGCAGAATGAGCCGTGCACGGACGGTAGAGTTGCCGATCTTCAAGATCACGCTTACAATTTGCCGCAGCGAAACCTAGATCATGGATGAAGTTCATTCAGGCATGAATTTAGTCAGAACCCTGTAAAAGTTGGGGTGGTAATTCAGCAGGCTTAAATGTCATTAAGGCCGTCCAAGTACTTATTCTGTAAACACGGTTGGCATTGTCCGAAATGGCTGAGTTAGATCCAATTTAAGTCCGTGCCTATTTTTTACCCTAATTTCATGGTGTTCCATTTGTGTCACTTCTGGACATTTATCCAGACTCATGAATGTTCTGATGACTGATGACTTTCCTAATGTTATCGTTCATTCTTCCTTTTCTACAAAAGTTTTATAGATTCCTTTGTTTTTATAACCATTTCAAGACCAAGCTAAGCATTTGGCGCATACAATCTAATCTGCTGCACCTCTGCCACGTTTAAACTATGGGTCTAATTCAAGCTTCAAACACTAACTAAACATCCTTCTCAAGCTGGTAAAAACGGGCATTTGTAAATACAAGTATGATAGTGAAGGACATTCCGACTTGACTTCAGTGATTCCAGAAGCTTGATATCAGCGAGGGGGATTTTTTAAACTCAAGTTTGTTATTTTTAGTCATCAACGGCTTTTCAAAGAAAAATTAGTATAAAATAAGCAGTGATTTTGGAACCAAGTGACCTTTTGGTGATTGGTTCCCGTTCTCCTTTCAAATAGGTAATCTACTGGCCAATAAAAACTAGGAATCGCTCTGCCAGACTAGGCTGATTGGTAGATCGAAGTAGAACTTACATCCAATGAGAACCGAAAGAGTAGACCTTCTTCATTCACTTCCAGCACGCCATTGGCCTCCCAGAATGCAAAATTGGAATAAATTTTAGAAAAATTCAAGTCCCTCCAACCCTCGTAAAGGTAGGTGAATTGCCAGTTCGAGTTCGAGTTGACTTCGTTCCCCGATAAGACGTAGGCGAGCAGGGAATAGCCGAGTCTATTTACCTCAAGGGTTAAATAACCGCCTTTCTTCGATTTAATTTTTCCTCCTAGAATGCTAAATGAGAGGACATGCATTTTACCCACCTGAATCGTTATCAATAACAATGACACGGGCGAAACCTTCATCGCTTTTTAAATTAATTCTGATTCGTGCCGATTCTTCAGAAATATTAATCTTTTGATGGAAAAGTAGATTTAAATGCTGCTTCCTGACGCCTGATTGAACGTAATTTGCAGGTGCAGACCATATACATCCAACAGATTTAAATGAGACATAGGACATGGTGCCGGATTGCAATCTCCGTGTGAAGAAATTCGCATCATCGGAAAAATGGCGACAACCAAGTTGGCTTTGAATGCTTCTAAGGAGACCTGTTTTCTCCGATTCTGTTGTCTCATTGAGACAATCTAGAAGGTACCTCAATCCCTTGACTGAACGTTGAATGTCTGGTGATATCACTCTGTCTAGAATTTAATTTCCTCGTATCAGAATTTCATCAAGTAGTTGAAAAGAAGCAAACACAATAATGGATGTTAGACATCAATTCAGCACGTAGTCAAAGCACCGGGATCAAGTGAATTCGCCAGCAACAAAATACTTCCAAAAAATTGCATCAGTTGGTAAAGCAGCAGCTGGTCTAGTTTAGACAAATATGAATTTGTTCTAGTGGACTTTCTACCTTACCGTGCCACTATCTACAGGGAGTTTCGTAGGGGTCAGGAGAAGAAATTGCGAAATCGGTCGCTAAGGGTGTTCTCTTTCTCCAGACTGATTCACCAGGTCTCACTGCTCACTGTACTGCGTGCATGTCGCAGAAACTAGGCTGAAAGGCGGGACCACGTCCCTCCGACGATTCGGACCACGATCTCAGTAATTTCTACCTCTTTGGTTCGCAGGAGTTTGCCAGGTACTAGTTAAGCGCTCCTTTTATGAACAAAAAGCGTGTGGTCTAATCGAAAAATTCCTTACATTCATCTGTTCTCCGTTTCGATATAAGTAGCATCAACTGAATTTGTAGACTAATTTAAGGATACAAGACAAAGATGGAAATTCATGGGTGGAAAATTCTAAAGTCCCAAGATGCGTTTGAGCCCGATAATGCTGGTAATATGGAACAAGCATGGATAAACCAAGTAGTACCTTCTGAGAGGGGAAACTTGGCACTTCTCAAAATCCGTCTAGTAAAGTGGCCTCGGAATAGGGCTTGACAGCCAATGATTCCCCTTACCGCTGAACATTTTAATTCATTGCCATCTTGGAGGCTAAGAAATTATTGTTTTAAAAACAAATGAAAGATTTTTGCTTACCCAAACATCTCAGTAGGTGGAGATTTGTCTTCAACTAAAAATATTGGCAAAGGTGATATCAAGTGGGTAAGAAAATGTCGTCTAAGTTTCAATAAAGTTGGGTGAAATAGCCTGTTGTGAATTGTGAGAATATGCAACCTGGTTGCACGTCATTCCATTAGTACAGTCCTAGTTCCTTTGCTCTGCTCTACTCCCCTGTTATTTTAAAACCTTTGTTCGGAGAAATGTGATTGAAGATTGTCTACTGTTTTAGGGAGTGACTTGAACACGGCTTCAAAGCTGTACCCGTGGAAGCTAATCGTCACCTAGAGAAGGTGAAGTATCCGAGTGTGACACTCTTGGGTAAAATAAGTGGAGGCGAGTATGTAGATGACGGATTTAAACAATGTTCAAATTAATAATTAAAACAATTTGCTGATACTCAAAAGAATTCAGGTATTGGGAAAGGGGTGGAAATTAATAACCAGATGTAATTTACGAGGGAACTCTATAAATACCTTTAGCTTCTTTTAATTTCAATTCACCACTTGGGTCGATGATCAGGACTTTCCAACCAAGCTTTGCATCTGAAATTCCTATCGAGTCTTTATTTCTATTGTGTTTTGAAATCAACTCTGCTATATTTTCGTAAATCACCTACGAAAAATAGAAGACATTACTTTTTTCACGAAAAAATTATGCATTATGTCCTTTTTATGACTGATTCACCCATTCTTACTTTTTCTAGAATCCGAATTGGCTTAGGGGTAAAAATTTTCCCCAAAAAATTCAAAAATGAATCTCTAGCGTTTCCATAGCGGCTTGCTGTAGAATCGATCTTTTCAGCAGCTTCAATGAAGCTCCGTGCAATTTCACAAAATTTGTCAAGAAATCGACATCCATTATGGACGTTTTGCAGGGGTTCTTTTACTGCCTCCTGCATGCAGGTTTCCATTGGTCCAAGTACAAAAATCGTTCTTTCAGGATTGGTACATGGAGTGAAGAGGGTTAGGGAAACAGCCATTGGTGTTTCAAGGATGATGCGATAGCAGTGGCGTCCTCGTGGTAATCTTAAGCTCACCGATTGGCGATTCTCCATAGACAGCGTTGTGATTGGTGGCTGGCGGCATGGTGATAGCCAATCAGTAGGCTCCATTCTCACCATTGTACGGGACTCATCTTTTCGTAGGATAAATACGCATTTTAGCAAATAAATTCATTTCCGCTACTAAAGCCTTTCCACCTAAATGCGACACCAAAAATCCTGGTAATTATACCATAATTAAAATGGCTACCCATTTAACGAATAAAAATATTTACTATTTTCATTATTTCCATCAATTATTTCATATCTCATTCGCTATTTCATAACTGTTAGTAATGACAACCATTTGTTTCACTTGGCTTTGGATGCAGAAGAGCCTAAGTGGGGACATTTAAAGGAGGTAGAATTTAAGGCTAGCTAAGAGAAAAAGATAAAAGTGTTGTCAACAAATAATTAGGTATGCAAATGAACTGTCATTTGCATACCTAATTCACCTCTCGTGTTTGGTCTTTGTTTACGAAAGCGCAGTTTTAGTGTAAACAGAAGGCCATGGATCCTAACCGCTTCATCGTTAATGTAATGGTTAGCGGGGTCACAGAGGGCAATCGCCTGTCACTGCCCTATTACCTATGGTTCTAATGTGACAAAAGTTACTTTTCTGTCCATACTAAGTGCGTTGTCCCATAGCTTTGCTTTTTAAATCGCAGTCAATGATTTGAATGCATGAGCTGATGTGATCAGTCATTTAAAGACCATAAAAACACTTGTCACACATTTGTGACGCTGGGACTAAGTGGAAAAAAATAATGTGCATGTGATGCGGAAGGTAAATAGGCCACAAATCTGACTCCTAGCTTCAACATTTCAAAAATGGTCTCGTTAATTCGAGAAAAAGTTATAATGTACGGATTTAGGTTCTTTTGATGCATATCAATAAATTTTCTCTAAATGGAATAAAAGTGGCCCTGATTTTGCTACTTTTCTGTTATATTCAAAAATTACAACTACACATCCAGGATATGATCAGTTGGAGGTTTTAAATTAGCAAACTTTGATAATCAGTCCATTTTGACACTTCAAATGACCGATTTAGGGCTTTTCTATGATCAACAGTCTGACCATTACACTGATTCTCCCTAAATAAGGAGAAATCCAGCGATTTCTACTCCTAAATCCTAGTAAAACCTAACAGATAACCGCAGTAAACCTTTCAAGTAGACACAAATAAACAAAAATAAATAAAAAAATATGGCAATATTAGCCTTATTAAATATTTAATTTAATTTTAGACTTTATTCGTATGTTACGCCCCAATTTGCCTATTTAGACCAAGCGTCACAAATACGTAACACGCGATCTTCGCCAGTTTAGGACGGCTTATTACCCTGAATCGCGCAACAAACAGATTTAAAAATTTGAAGACAATGAAAGACATCAAAGATGTTCTTACTTTAAGAATGATCACCTCCTTATTTAAAGTTCCAGCTAAATTCTTCAATTTGGTCTAGCAAATGTTGGTTTTGTGTCAGCAGAATGAAACAAAGTGGCTGTGATAGTCACTTCTTTGTCACTTCTCTGACAAGACGTGAGTTTAATTATTTATTGTGTAAATAAGTGTTTATTTATGCACAGCCTTTGAAAATGCCCTTCTTACCCGAGTTCCTACACACCGTGGTGTGGAAGTCGATGATCACCTCAATGTCGTCTAAACTGTCCACGAAGAGGTAACTCTCTTTAGACGCCACAGACTCCTCCGTAGCATTCTTTAGAGAGCTTGTCAAGCAAACCACTTTGTTGAGCTTACCTTAACCACTGTTAATGTTTCGATAAATGCCAAATCTTTAGGGTTGTAGAAAATCTGGAGTTCGCTAGAAAAAAAGTAAAATTGGTGGTTAGGTTGGGCAAAAAAGTGTTGGGAGTCTCAAATCAACATGACAGTTACTTGAAGAATTTGCACACATCTTCAATGTCAAACCAGCCATCTAAAGTGACAGTAAAAATAAGTAAAATGGCGCGCAAATTCACGTCAACAAGACTAGAGATTCAAGACTCACTCATTTTTGAGGTTTCATGACCCTCCTACAACAAAACCAAGTCTTTACGTGAATGGACAAGTCTGTTACACAATTGACAAGTTTGTTGCAAGTGCCACAGACATATGTTATGTCTCCTTCAACCCTTTTATGATAGCTGGATGCACTGACTGCAGACCCTATTGGTAGATTTATTTTCCCTATGATCCTGAACGCCTAGCTTTGAATGAAAATAAAGAATTTTTCAACACATGGCAAAACATTATCAATTCAAAATGAGGAGATTCCGAGGTTTCCAGTTCTAGTAGACGTGGAGTATTAGCTATAGAATACACCCTCCTTTCACCGTCATTTCTTAATGAATGCCAATGTAACCTAAGGACAAAAAAACTGCTGAAACTTACATTTTCTTGAGTAATGTCAGGTTTCTTCTCTGTGCTTAATCCTGCCGCTTCATTTCTATTACTGAAAATGCAAATAGTCATCAGTCGTTTGGTTGATGCAAAAAGCTGTCATTGTCAACGTAACCACCCGCTCTCTTTATAGTAGATTATGCCTTCCCCTTAAAAATGCCCTTTTAAGCACTAAAATCTGTCTGGTGCGCTCTCTGATATAGAACAACTCTTGGCGTTATACCAAGGCTGTTCAAGTCGTCCAGGAACTTTACACCCAATCCTCATTTGTCATGGTACTGCGACGCCACTATCTACCCGCTTATCTGTCTGTCTGTGCGCCTGATTACTACACTTAATGGCCGGTGCCATGTCCTGCACCGGTCCATTCCAGACACCGCTCATTAAGACGACTTGCGACTGGGTCAGCGAGGTCGTGTATACAACACTGTGTAGAGATTACCCTGCAAAATAGGGCAAAAAATCCATGCGGATGATTTCATGTATGGTATAGGACTTTCAGCCGCTCAGCAGTGAAACTCTGCCATCCTGGACATAGTGGCTCGGGCTGAACCCACAACACATCAGTCAATTAGGGATCGGAAAATTCAGCCGAAGAGTGGAATGTGTGCCTCATCCTAGACGTGTTACTAACGCGCAATCACTGCCGGTGATGGAAGTGTACGGGAGACGAATCTTGCGGTGAGAAGGGTTACCAGACTGCATTCATTCGCAAATCTCCGCAATTTCGAAAAAAATTGGTGAATGTTGTGTGCCAGGACAGGCAGACTGCCCTTGGCGGGTTGAGCCGTACCGACAAAGCTTTCTATACCGTACTCGCCCAAGTATTTGTCAGATGATGGAGAGTAAGCAAATGTGGCAGGAGACAATGACAAAAAAATGAAAACAAATTTCCACCCCAAAATTTCTAATCTGACCTGAACTCTACCTTGAATAACCCTTAAAGTCCACCAAACGATATGCTTCATTTTAATAGCTCTATAATCCCAAAATTTTCAGACACTCTTACCCAGAGTTCTCATTCCTTAGCAGCCGCAAAAGAACAGATCTTATTGGTTCGTGTTCTTCGTCCTGCTTCAAACTTTTAGGAGGTCCACGTATCTTCTTCCACGCTGGAACAGGTGGGAGGTCTTCTGAACTAACGAGAGGCTGCTGTCGTCGAAACTGCAGCAGAACCTTCTGTGATTTTGCCTCCAAATTGGCCATGAAGTCTGCCTCCATTACGCTTCTCTGTGTAGACGGGAAGGTAACATCTCAACGCATCCAACCACAAGGATTCTGACAGTAAATACACATCTGGCTGAACTATCGAGCGCTTGAATTATTTGCATTTTGTTTTCATATAGAAGGAAGTTATTTTGCGCCTAAGGTTGCCATCACCTTTAAAAGGGCTGTATAAGTTGATCTTCAAAAGAATTAGACAGATTTGACCTGATTACTCACCGCCCTCAATATCTTGAGTAAACAAGGGAAACTTTGCACAAAAATACGTGAGATTTTCTCTTTTGGTTGAAATTTACGACTACGAAGTTTGACCAGTCTTTGTTACTGCCACTGCTACTGTTGCCATTTAAGTGGTGCTGACATTCATGTTGCTCCTCCAGACCTACTGTGAAATTCTGCTCAACGGAAACACTAACACCCATTTTCTACATTCAACTCCCTATAAAAAAGCAGTTTTTCGAATAAAGTTTACCGTGTTTTCACTAAGCAACACGTCTTTTGCTTTTTTTCCTCCGACGAATACAAATGGAGCAGAATTGACTGATCTTTCAGACTCGGCTGCATCAAGTTTATTTTCCTTGTTAAGCCTCTGCCATTCCGGTAAAAGGGGTTTCAAAAGGATCCATGTCTCCTTAACCAGATGATGGCTATATGAAGTAAATATACAACAGCTTTCCCTACCTAAGTCTTATTCTCTGAGATGGCCATCCGGTTAAACAAGTGAAAGCAGAAAAACTTTGTTGGGACCTGAGATAGAGATGAAGCAGAGGTGCGTTAAATTTACTCGATGGCAGCGACTTTTAAAAGAGCTTTGCAGAGAAGCGGTAGCCACAACTCGTTAGACTTGAGCCATGGCAGTATTGGTTGTGAATTTTCGTCTACCATGATGCGATCATCAATGTTTATTCGTCTCCATGCTCCCATTATGTATAATCTGAATGAATATTTTCCATTCGGATTGTATAAACAAGTTATTTTCCCTTTCTTATTTTTGGCTTGGGGATAAATGCACAGCCAGGGTGAAAGTGGCGGTCTGTGAAATTATTATTCCTGGAGTATAAACTCACTCGTTTCGTAAAATTAGCGTCAAAATATCCTCATATATTTGGTTAAAGGTACATCTTAATGTTTTTGGCACGGAATCAAAAGCTTCGGCCAATTCATTTTCCGCTGTAGATTTCGAAAATACAACTGGATTTTTAATAATTTCGCTGGGACGTAATTGTTGTTTGGAATAAGGAATCCTCATAGCAATGGTGTGCTCTTCAGCATCTTCGAACAGTTTCTTCCCTTTCTTTATCTACAACAGGATAGAGGGAATGCCAGAATTAGATAAGTTATCAAGGCTTACCAACGATAGAAAGCACAAATTCACAAAGCTAAAGGCATTACTACGTCAGGGTACCTAACAAACTAGCTATTTCATCCAATTATTATGCAGAGAAGCTAGGATTGTGTTTTAATTTGAGTACAATCATGGCAGTTGCCTTGGCCAGCAATGAAACGCATAATTCACATTAACTCAGTTAGCCGCATTAACTTTACTATTCAAGTGATATTAACAAGGTCTGCAGTTCTGTCATAATATATGTAAGTGACACACAAATAAGAGGATTTAATACCACCAAAAAACACTATAAATGAATTTGTAAAATTCCCTTTTTGGGTTGCTGAAATCCTTTCGTAGATTTCCAGAAATCGTGCGAATTTTCGTCGACGGCCCAGGTTTCACTTTCTATTTCTTTTTCAGACCAAACACTCCACATCCTCCCTCCACTGCCATTTAAAATAGTATATCCATGAGGTGTGTTTACATCAACCTTCAAGTAGTAAATATAAACGATATGAATTTTTAGTTTAGTTGATTAAAAATGTAGTTGCTATTATTGAAACCAAAACCTCTATCCACCAATAAATTTTGCATTTTAGGCAAATAAAGACGGGCTCTGATTGGTGGTGATTCACGTAAGATTATACAAATTGGGTTAATTTTACCCATAAATTAACAATGTAGCATAGTTGTCTACTGCTTTTATAGTAAACAAACTTTCTGCGCAACTGTGTATTAAGCTACGTCGACAATTTAACCCCTCCGGGTTGTGCTTTCTATCAATGGGATGATCATCGAGCCGGGCTAATAGCTCCCAACTCTTCTCCACGCTAGTAATATATGTTCCACCATGTTAATTCTAATGTATGCATCCCCTGAAGGACTCGCAACGCTACACTTTCTCACATCAGAATACTTACTGTTTCAGAAAATAGGGACTAACTGGATACATTACCGAGTAAATTTTGGCCCCCCATCCAGAGGCCAGCCTAAAGTTTCGGTGGTTCCCACTTATATAAGCTGATACTTGACTTTAATGCTAAAAACCTGGAAGCTATTAACGTACCTTGAAGTGAAAGCACAACTCCGAGGGACTGAATTATATGAGTGGGCAAAAAAGATCGAACCTCCCAATTAAGTGCCTGTGTGAATGTAGTTATTTGACGGGAGGTGGTCAGTATATACAATCATCGTGACTGAACGGGCCCCATTGGCTCCTGGGGAGGGAAAAAACTTCAAACCCCCTGATATAAATTTCCAAAAACTACTCCGCCCTTTACAGTGTGCAAAAGGGGAGGTAAGGGGGTGCATTTGCAGTACTTGCGTTGTTTTAATGTACCTTTCAAGGCAAGGTCGCAATTCAAATCTGGTGACAGGGTTGTCGTCTCCCCTAAGCTTTGAACTTATTCTCCCTAATAAATATGTCGAGATTAAATCCACCGGGCTGTCCTAAGAGCACTAGGAACAGAGAAGTGGAGATCTGTGCCTAATGGGATACTGATGTGGTTCTCATAACCTTAATTTGAATGGTAAATTTTCATATCCTAAACCTTTCTTCATTTAAATCCCTCTAAAAATTTTAACCATGATTTTTTACTTTCTCTAAGTTTTCTAAGTTCATGTTTAAAGCCACCTGACTTTGAGAAAAGCTTCACTTTATACAGTCTTGAGTTTATACGTCTCGTGTCAGATTTTCCACATCCCCTGCTTTCATAGGTCAGTTCCGTGTCTCCGCTTCTCAAGGTTGCCAATGCGTGATTGGCTGATGCTTTCTTAAATGAATGCTATTAACCAACGGTTTTCACCCGTATGTTCATGTGCTGTTATCTGTTTTCAAGCTTCCGTGATGGCTCTGGATAGACGCGTCTCTCTGGTTTTCACACCACTCTCAAATCGAAGTAATTGCTCCTTTTATAAAATATTTTTAGCTCTGTGTACTCCTGAAGACCGCACAGTCATTGTGCTTGTGGGCCTACCGGCGCGGGGCAAAACATACATGGCTCGTAAGCTTACGCGCTACCTGAATTGGATAGGCATCAATACACGCGGTAAGTTACTAAGCCTTGTATTTAAATCCATAGTTTTTAATGTTGGTGACTACCGCAGAAAGGCAACGTGTCTGCAGGGCCACGATTTCTTCGACGATACTAACAAAGAGGCGGCGAACATTCGAATGTAAGTATGGATTAGGATACTTTACTCCCCTTCCAAGGAAAGCTGCACGAGAAGCTTTGAGTGATCTCACAGAGTGGTTGAAAGATGACGGAGAAATAGCTGTTTTCGACGCTACAAATACCACTCGTAAACGGCGTGACATGATTCTCAATTATTGTCGACCGCATAATTTCAAGGTTATCTTCGTAGAGTCCATTTGTGACAATCAGGATGTCGTTCAAGCAAGCATTTTGGTGAGTCTTCATTGTAAATCATTGAGTTGTCTTATCGTTGAACTAATCTGGTTACCTGTTATCTTTGTAGGAAGTTAAGGTCAACAGTCCGGACTATATTGGTATGGATAAGGAATCTGCAATGCAAGATTTCCTTAAACGAATTGAGCACTACGCTGCCCGATATGAACCCCTTGATATTGAACGAGATAAAGACGTCCCCTTTATTAAAATTATCAATCAGGGTCAACGATATCTGGTAAACCGAATTGCAGGTACTTGATTCATCACCTACCCTACGCAATTTTTTTGCCCCCGAATGTGATGTTTAGCAAGTGGTGATGATGATGGCACGTTAATTATTTTTGGGGTTCGTTGCAATAAAACTGCATGCCTTAAGGGAAAGAAACCTGCAAATATGGTGGATGATCGTCTCTATACTTATGCCTTCCTCTTTTTTTGCTTTCTGAATGGTCGGGTTTGGTCACCCCGGGCTTTTCAGGCAATGTCTCCAGCCGAATTGTCTATTACCTGATGAATATCAACGTTGCGAAACGCACAATCTACCTAGTCCGAGTAGGCGTGCGTTTGTTTTTAACCAACCTCTTTCTCTAGCACGGCGAAAGCGAATACAATCTGCGTGGCAAGTTGGGTGGTGATGCTGATCTCTCCGATCGAGGAAAGCTGGTTAGTTTAATACCTCTTTCACCCTCTGCTGGCTTCACAAATTCGCTTTTTGACTTTGAAATTCTATTCCTAGTTTGCTCAAAAGTTGGGCAGGTTCATGGAACGCGAGGGTCTTTCAGATTTGAAGGTCTGGACCAGCCACATGCGTCGAACCATTCAAACCTCTGAGTTCATCAAATGCTCACGTCTCGAACATTGGAAGGCTCTGAATGAGCTCAGTGCTGTTAGTTTCTACCCCCTCCTTATCTACTTTGCTGGTTATGTTCACCTTCTAGTGACTTCATTTTTTACCCTCTCTCAGGGTGTATGTGAAGGCATGACTTATGATGAAATTCAAAGGAAATATCCCACCGAATTCGCTTGCAGAGATGCAGACAAATTCCATTATCGTTATCCCATGGGCGAGGTAAGTGAAATCGAGGCCTTTTTCATTTGATTAGCTGTGTGTTATTCGTTTGATTGGCATTTATAGTCTCTTGACTTTTTCATTTCGTCATCTATCTCTACCAGGGCAAACACCCAAGTCACTTTTATCAATTATAGTGCTTTTTGGTTGTCACCAACGTTTTTATTTGAATTTTCAAATGAGCGATGAAACGAATGTGATGCTTTCATAAAAATTATTTCAAGCAATTAAATTTTGTTGTTGAAATGTAACGTAAATTGATTTGATTTATGCCTTATACTAACACTGGTGGAGCGGCTCTACTGCATTTGATCTCCAATTTTCTTGTCTATCAAAATGCCATCTAGTCTTACGAAGACTTGGTAGCACGATTGGAACCCGTGATAATGGAACTGGAAAGGCAAGGTAATGTGCTTGTAATCTGCCACCAGGCTGTCTCACGATGTCTGCTCGCTTACTTCACTGAAATGGACAAGGGTAGGTAGCCTGTTCAATGAATGGAAGCGCTTGCAACGCCATTCTCTCCAAACTTTCATTTTTCAGCTGAACTGCCCTACATTCGCGTACCACTTCACACTGTTTTCAAGCTAACCTCTTCCGCCTATCGATGTATCGTCGAAACGATGAAGTTAGATGTCGAGGCTGTGGACACACATCGCAGCAAACCAGTTGTAAGTCCCAACTTCACATTTTAGTTTTTTAAAACTTGAACTTAATGTGAAGGTACTGGGAATTTGTGTGTCTTTAGCCCTGGTCTCCTGTTGCTCTTGATAGTATGCTCAGGGTTTTGTGTAAAATTTCTCAACCTACATTTCCACAAATTATGTGAATCTGAACTAGAAATCAGCCCGAGAACAATTGCTATTTTCGCCTCCACCTTCGCAAAACGTGACTTGAGCATAGTGGTTTAGAGAAATACGAATGATTTTTTTTTTCATGTCTTTTAAATAAGCCATGTTTGGGTGGGATCTGTGCGTAGGTTCCATCATTTTCGCGTCGACACGTACTGACGCTAGTCATTTGGACTAGGATTGAGTAAACAAAGCATAAATTATTTTGTTTATGCAGTAATCCCAAGGTAGTTATTATGGTTCTGTTAAATCATCAGCCAAATTGTTCGGTATCCAAGATGGTTCGCGGGGTTTCTCAGGAATTAGATATAACATAACTCCAGAAAGCCTCTTGAGATATTTTATTGGTTGAAATTATCACCAGCACGATTTTTCCCTCTCTCTCTCTTCCCCAGCAAGTCACGGACTTGGGGCGAATTCCATTCTTGTCAAACTTTTTTGCCTCTAGAAACAAGGGTCTTTGCCCTAGCTGCTTCGGTTTTTCGCCTCACCTTTACTTCCCGTCTGTTAATTCTACTTCATGCGTGACTGTTTGATGCCAAGAATAAGTGGTAGTTACGGATTTTGTTGAACTTTGGCACAAAATGCCAAATTTAGATTTTTTCACAAAAATGGGATGGTCATCTACATTTTACCAATATATCTGTTGATTTTGACTACAGAATGCTTGTCAGTGCTGCCTTTTATAAAATTCTTCATCAAGCAGGCAACTTCCGACTTCTAAACAACTTGCTCATTCCCGAAAAGACGTAGCTTTGAAGAAAAATTGAAGGTTTATCAAATTTTCGCTCAATCTTGAATACTTTTGTGCTGTCTCTTCATGAGGAAGGGAAGAAAACATGTTGAAATGCCACTTTTTTTAGATGGGATGCAGCTTTTTGTTATGAACTGAGGTTGTCAGATTGGGTTTATGGGCTTGGTCAAAGTAGCTGGAGGCCTGGCCGAGGACCCAAACCTTGAGGCTGTAAGCACATGGCTTCCTGTAGGCGTAAGCCATTGAAGTCACATAAATAGACAGGTACGTGAGGTCAGGGTCACAAACTTTAGGTGATATCTCCCCCGGCGAAAATATCAGACCTCTCATGAAACTAATTCCGCTAAACAAGCGAACGTGACACAGTTGGATGCCCTTCTATAATGTCGGAGATGTTGCAATAATTTGTCGTTGTTGTTGCTGGAATTGACCCTACTGATTAAATTTACCTGTCTGTAAATCGGTGAGATTACGAAAGCCTCCCACAAGCCTCTGATGATGCATTAACAGTGACTTATGGTTCTATTGGGGGACGAACAGTGAATACGGTCAACTATTAATAAAATATGAACTTGGATCATCATCTACAGAGTAGATTGGAATCAGTCATGCCTTCCCCCTACTACTCAATCTTTCGTTCAATCTTGAGTTGTCAAGTGGGCTAGGCTGAATACATTGTCACGGATTGCTAACTTGGAATTTGAATTTGAATAGTCTTGATACGAGCTCTGACGGGGTCACAAAAAGGTGGCTTATTCCCTTTATTACTTCACGACGCCTTTTTTGCATAAAAGCTTGAGAGAAGACGGGTGTGTGGCCTGCTGCCGATCTGGAATTGACATTTTTTTACCACTTTGAGCTAGTCATTTGAGTAAACATAGAATTACCCTCAGGGTAAATACTCCAGCATTTACCTTTGAAAGTCAACAACTTGTATCGTACTTTAAGGCTGTTTTTGGCCCAAGTTTTTGCCTCCAATATACTTCATGTCCTTTGAACTAAGCCTGTCACATGTCAGTGTCACTTTGCAAGTCGGCTTATTACGCTTATTGAAGAGGCCGTAAGTACATTCTCCAAGAGCTTGACAGAGGTTGGCGTCACACACAACCCCTTAACCATCTGTTTTGTAGCCACCAAATTTCCTCTGAGACCTTGATAGTGGACTTTTTAAAGTGCTGAAGTACTACTTGACCAGGTAGCCTCGGGCGGCTTTTTGGCTACAGGAAGCTTCTGGGGAAATGAAATTGCATTTTGTAATCTACAATCCTTTTGCTGCGAGGCAAGTTAGCCACAAACCCCACCTTTATGAGACTTTTTGTGTGTTGGAGCGAAGAGTTCACACCCAGATGCCTCTGTTTTGCGTCCTGAAAGTTTATTTCACATGTGAAAGAAAGGTTGCAATTAATTGAAGACCAGCCAGTGTAGTTGACTGATCAGAATCTCGATGAAGGTCGTACCACGGTGGTGTGTATATATGATGCAAGTATTATCAATCTGATGCACCTCCTTAAGCACCTTGAAGAGGACAATTTACTACCCCACCGAAGGCCTCTTTTCCTCACCTCAATGCCACATTTGTGATGACAAAATGCAAATTAACCTCCAACCTGGTGCTTTAATGAGCTAGTCGGAAGTCACTTCCTTGAAAAGGCGTCGCACCCGATAATTTATGTACACACCTAAACAATTGAAGGAAATGAATAAGGTGTTTTAGAATTGCAGATTTTGAAAGATCGCCCATTCTTTTCTAAATCGCCCTCTGGTCTTCGTGTTCATGCGGTGATTGTATAATCTCGAGTGTCTTAATTAGCCCTTCAAGGACCAATAAAATGTAGCCTTGACCACCTGCGCCTCCGATTGGGGGGGAAGGGGAAGGTAAGGCCGATTGGAAAGGGTACTGTAACCTCCTTTTCTAACTTCCTATTATTTATTTAGCAAACCGCGGCTGACGTACGTGCGTTTTAGTTGGATGGCGCTACCTACGCCTTGCATATTCACTTCATTTGCACTTCACAACTTTTTTCCCTCACCTTTACCTTAAAACACTTCCCATTAACGCAACCAGGTGTTTCAGATGAATCGGTTGCTTGTGATAATTTCTGATGTCGCTTTTTCTTGCAACGTTTCCTTCAGAATCCAAACGAAGTTAGAAGTCCCTTTGAGGCCTTGAAAACGGTTCCGCCCAAATACTAGTTGGCCTGGCCCTCTTCGAGGTATGGTTAACCGATTTTGTAGATTAATTAATACTACTTATTAATTTTAAGTAACCGTACTGCGTTCTGAATTTTAGCGGGATTTTTCTGCGACGGAGACATGCAGTGTCTGCACGACTGCCAAAGACTTGGCTGTGCATACTTCTCTTTCTCGCCTTTTTTCTTAGTATACTACTTTTGTGATGAAGCTACTGCTATTTATTAATATTAGCAGTTTGACAAACTTAGCTAGTGCTTGTCCTGCTTAAATAGGTAATTTACCGAATAATTAAGCTAGTCATTAAGTGATTTGACTATTTAGTAATTTAACTGGTAGTAACTATGCGTTTTGTGAAATCGACTATGAAAACTGAAGCTTAAATTGCACTATTTTTAACGCTGGGCAATAATTCAGTTGGGTTTTCATAGTTCAAATGTTTTATTGTTGAGGTAGCGTTCTCTATCTTTGGTGAGTTTAGGCTCCTAGTACTCCTTTAAGAAGAATGAATGAATTGATTAATTTTGTCTAACTGTTTTCTTTTACATTAGTCTGATATTTTTATCATAAAATTCATGATCATCAGCTCGTTAATTTATTGGTATTCTCTCGCCCATATTAGACTTGGACAAGTTGGGTGCCCAAAAATATGGCGTTGTGAAATGGGTTTATCAATGGGTGAGTAAATTGAGATGATATTGACATCGAATAGTACTAAAATGTCCGAGTGGGGTGACTTGTAAAAATCTCTGTCTAATGTCGGCACTTTGTACGGGGATCGCCACCCCTACCTCCATCTTTTTGAGCCGGTCCAAATTGCTCTGTTCATCTGTCCCATTTTCTGAGCTTTACCTTGGTGTGGCAAACTTGCGTGACCTCTCTTTTGAAAAACTGTCGGTTTTAGTGAAGATAAGGCCGTTCATTCCAAGTGCCTGGCTCATTTTCGTTAATCTCCTCGATAAGTAAATGTTCATTCAGATCATTAACATGGAGTTATTTTAATTCATCAGTGTTGTACTGGTCACACCTAAGATCTCATGGTTGGAGGTAGTGCCACGACTCGGTAACGCCTTATCCATCACTTCAAAACTTGAAATAAGATCTTGAGGTGTTTATGCCGCACACTCGCGATAACGACCTCTATCCGTCAACGGGAAACTTATAAAGTGTGCGCAAATAACTTTGGAAGTTTGATCCACGCGTACAGGGGGTATAAATTTCGACCTCATTTCAATTTATACCTCATTCATATTGGTGTCCTATACAGCCACAGCAAATAGACAGAATTGTCAGAATCGAGATCATCGCCGTGTCCACTTCATGTTTTAGGTAAAGGCACAAGAATTGTTAATTTAAGCCCGGTTGGTAGTCAGTACTCTCGTCAGGCAGTGATATGCCGTCCAAGCACTCTCCTAGGATTGGCTGCAGTGCTTCAAAACGGTTCTGAGCTGTACATTCACCTTACGATGGATCAACGTGGTCTGATTCGTGGCTGTGCCAAATGAGACAACTTTGACAATCCCTTTCCAATTGTCCCTACACTTTTGGTGTACTGGAAATTAAAAGGAAATATTAGTTTTTTCCGTAGTGAGCTAAGATAACATATTGCTTCCAACTTTTCAATTGAATCGACTAGGATACTTGGGGATTTTTTCCATCAAAGTGCGACCTAGATATAGCTTTGCATCTGCCCTCCAATCAGCGTCCTCTAAGTTTGCCCTAGAGATGGCAGAGTGACTTAGAAGCATAGGTTACAGTAGCACATCTCCGTGTTACCAGCGTGAAATCCCGGCTATCGATGTATTTGTCCCTTCTTTAAACAACCCTATTCAAGAAAGCGCTGTGAATAGTGTCCTCTGGCCTCTCCAAAATCGGTGAGCTTGAAACCTCCATAGTTTGCATCAAATTAATGGTGGGGGGCACTCCTGTCCACTTTATTTAAGGCGCCAGGTGATATGAGATGAAAAAAAATCCCCCTTTTCCTTACATCTCCTCTGCCCCGTAGTGTCTAGTCACCGCTTGTAAAAAGTTGCTCAGTCCTTCACAGCCGTCTTGTCACCTGCTGTTTGTGTTCCTGTTCTTCTCTCACCTTCATGTCTACTCCGTTTCGCCTCTGGAGGTGATAACACCAACTGTTCATTTATTCATAACAAGTTGTGATATTCATTAGACTTTTTTGTGCTTCCAATTGACATTATCTGCTAGTCTAAACACAAAGGTGCTTCTCTTTTTTGGACTTAATAGACGAGGCGGTATTTAACAAATTTAAGTGGCAATGACATTGACATATTTGGCACCAGCGTCACAAATGTGTGACGTGTTCTTTAACAAATGCTGGCAGCTCATTGGCCCATATCGTTCCACAACTGGATTGGTTGAGATTAGACCAATCACATGGGTGGAGGATACTCCTAATCCGCGGGTAATTGCATTGCCAACTTTTTCAGTAGCGACTGGATCCTGATACTCCGAGTATTTGCCGATTGTGTTGAATCTTTTACACTTGTCGTTCCTTAAAGTCATATGAAATACTGAGCTACTGATCTCAATACAGTAAACCTCAATCAACATCAACCCCTCTTTGAAATACTTCAGTCAAAGCAATCACCTATTCTTCAACGTGGGGGTGGTTCCAATAACTTTTTTGAGTCATACTGCGGTGGACTAACACCCATTTCGGGCCGTTCATTCGAAATTGCGAGGATATTAAGTCTCCCGAAATTCGGTTACTAGGTTAATGGCATGGGCACTGCGTTTATTCAACCTCACTCGCACCGGTTCGTATTAGTTGTAGTAGAGGATTTATCATGGAAACCCCCCAATGATGGAAAGCAAAGGCTAACAAAAGGCAATGTGGAAGTACTTCGTTTTTGTGCACTCCCGACCACCCATGAATTTTTAGACTCCGGGTGGTGTCATCCGTGCTACCGGTTTTTAAACTCTTCTATACGTTTATAGCAAAGCTATCTTCAGACTGGTACTGAATATAACATCTACAGGGGTACCTTAGGTACAAGGTACTACTGAATTCATTTTTAATCGGCCACACTTACATTAGCAAGATAGAATCCTTCGTAAGAAGCTTCGTTCAAATCACAGACTTCTTGAACTCTGTACTACCTAAAATAACTTTAGTGTTGTAATCAGAAAATGGGAGCTTCGGGCAACTTTCTCATTGCTTACAAATCCACCGAGGGAGGTTAAGGCTCCCGCGCAGCCAATCAGATCACAACTGAGCCTGGACAATAGCCATTGCTGATGTGGACAATTGTCTACTCGACTGGACGGGTGTGGTAAAGTGGAGGGAGGAATGAAATTTATCAATCCTTATTGAAATGCTGTGTAGAGTTGCCATTTTATGTCTACCTATGGCTATGGCACCATGTCACCATGCCAAAAAGTGATGCTAGGAGGGGGTAACAATGGACTTTGAAGAGATTTTGATCCGTCTTCTAGGCGAATAGACGGTTCATTGATGGAGGTAAGATGTCGAAGCATTTGGTGGTCATCACCTAATTGCGTCCAGTCTACAACACCGTGGGCTTATGAAGGACGCGGACCGCCCATGGTGTATTCATTATTCAAAAATTGCGTTTTTCAGGTCAGCTTAGCAAACTGTCCTGTTGATTAAACAATGCTGGAAGAGAGGCGCTTCAAGACCTATTTTAGGCTATCTACCCATATGCACTTCTTTTTCCTTAGCCGAGTCGCTGCTTGGTTTTTGGCGATACGATATCGTTGACAGTTGAAACGATTTGAAAGAATGAATTACGAATTCCATTGATTCACCTTCTTAGAAAAGATTGTTGCTCAAAAGTCCCTGGTGTTAGATGTTAAAGACGTTAATGCTCACGAGGCATCCTCTAAAGGTTATTCGATGTAATCTATTGGGAGTTTTAAGGTAATCTCGCTTAGGGTGGAAGTGCTTTGAAGCCTCTTTGGCTCGTCCATTACAAACTCAAAGTCTTACCTCAGTCATCAAGGCCACGGATGAGTACGTGGCGTCAACAAGTGTTAATTTGGAAGCAGCAGGCAAGTCTGTGTATTCAAAGCTCTAGCCACTACATACTCAGAGGAATGCCGACTGCCACGATCTAGATGCTCCAAGGTGTCCTCATAGGTGTAGCAATCCGGCTTGCCAACTGACGCGTCACACTCGCGTGACGCATTTAATCAGAAGGATACAAAGTGTATTGAAGGGAGGAACAAAATCCAAAACAGCTCTAGAAGTGCAATATAGAGTGTTTATCCCCATAATAAACTTTGGTACACTTGTTCATGGAGCGTCTGGGGGGTGACGGTTATCAATTTAACCACTACTGGCATAAAAAGGTGGAAGACGCAATTAATCTCACACCGACAGCAGGTCCCACGCCTATTTTATGGTTTCAAACACTGCTAATCTATGTGTCACACACACTTTTATGCCGACAGTTGTCACAAGGTAATTAAGAGCAAGTGTTGCGCATATGCGGCGGCGCACTCAGGTAAGACCTATGGTGGCGCATATATGTGACGATAGTTTTTAGCATAAAAGAGGGTCGGAGTTTAGTGTAAGGGTCACTTTAAAAGCGTTTAGATGACCAGTTTAATTTCCGTTTCAAAGAATATTTTTTAATTTTTAATTCGAGAAAAAATCAGTCACAAATGTGCATCGATTAACATCGCGTCACGAATGCGTGACATTTTTTCGTGATGCAATTTACAACTTATTACATTAAATTGTTTGTCTCCAACAAACTGAATTCAAAACATTTCTCGATCTGAAAACACCTGCATTTTTTCCTTTTTTGGCTATCATTCAAATTGGTAAGTATGGAAGTGCAAGCGTTTACGTCCTATAAGATTAGCAAGGCGTCTGGATGGTAGTGTTGCTCCTCTTTCCACTAATACCCGTTTGTTGAGGGAGTTCTTGAAGTTCATTCACCATGGCTTGGTTACAGTTCAAGGATAAACCAATTTCCTACCTATGGAGTCACACTGTGAACAAAGGCTCAGTAGCTTCACTCAAGCACTAACAGGAGCCTGGGAAAAGAGGCTGAAAGCTCTGCCTCATCGCCGGAAAAAAAGGAAGGGGAAAATTGGACCGTAAGTATGATAAAATCCCACACACATACACACACGCACAAATACCAGTTGGCGCAGGCTGATCACATCGATGACTCTGCCGTCTGGGATAAATCGTTTGGGCTCGTGTGTGTGTGTGCTTATGCATGTCACCTGTTGCTGCCGCATCTCATCCGGAACAACTGTTCGTTGCAATTCGCAGCTCTTCTGCGCACTAATTGCCGGCTCTCTAGCACCCTAGTCACACCTTGTTACCCTGTCAGAGATAGATAGATAGATATGGCGCCTTTGTCGGGAATTCGGACACCCACTAGATGGTGGGTCTGTTTGATGACACCTCTAAGTGACCGGTACAGCAGGACAAAGCATGTATTTACTTATTTCTGTTTCCTCCTCAAAACTGGCTCCTCATAGCTGCTTTAAAATGGATTGAGTCCGCCCTTTAGACATCCGAGGTCGTTTGAAGGCACTGATGCAGGTGTCTCGAGTTTTAATGAGAAGTCTTGTAGTAGTATTGTGTCCCTCCCACCATTTGTACAGCCCCTACTTTTAAGAAACAAAATCCAGTTGTTGGTTTTAGTTAAAACTAACTTTTGTAATTGCAAAGATTAGAAGTTTAATCTTTAAATCATTTGTTAAAGTTGATTTTGTCTACTTCTACGCTCGCAGTTTCATCAATTAACGATTCCTCCACGCATTACCTCAACGAAAGATTTCCTAAATTTATCAACAAAAGAGTGATTTGTTCATTACTTTATCTTCAAAAATCTTGAAGTGATTTATAAAAACTCCCTTTTTAAAGAAAGCCCACTCCCCCCCCTGCCCAATTTACCCACTTTGCAGTATTTGACTGGCCGGCACATATTATTTTTTTAACTGACCAACATGTAAACACTTACTGGGACGTTCAAAATAAGACAAAATATAATTACAAAAATAACGTATAATTTCTTGTGATCCTCAGCCTTTTTTATTCCGAAAGCTGCAACACATTTTGAGGCCTGTCCATTATCTCAATTAAATACCTTGTTTTTTGAAAATGATAAAAAATGATTCACCTAAAGCTTAAAAAATTTTAATTTATATTTAATTTTTGTTGTAAACTCGATTAATCCGGTAATAGTAAGATTCAGGGCAACCGCTTACTATTAAGTAATGACAAACATGTCGTACACACGCGCCACTAGTGCTAAAAGGAATGGTCCGCCAAAAAACGTATTCTTGTTTGACATTTTTTACAATTTGGACTCGATTGCCTGTCATGTAAGTAGAAGTACAAGACCCTAGTATGCTTTCGCGCCAATTAATAGCATCCGGGGTCCTTAAATGTCCCACCTAAATTGCCTCCTAAAGACGACCTTAAATTAGGGTACAAAAAGTGTGACTAAAGACCCCCTACATTATTATTTAATTTACTCAGCAACGCACTTCTATAAAA